GATTTACTAACCTTGTGCCAAAGTCACCACCCGAAACATTCCAAGTTGCACTTGTTCTGACGATGGAGCTTCAATGACAAACTAAGCTTCAGTAAAAATTCAGCCTGAAGATAATTGAACAGCTTCCTAAATCACTCTTTAGTCTTTTTAACGGTTTAGTGAATACGTTTTTAGACACTCTATGTTGAGGGTTTCATCCCAACGTCAACAAGGAGAGCAATAAACCCATTAACTTTCAGAGGGTGGACGCCAAGGCAGGCACGTTGACAGGTTTGTAGTTGCAAAACTCTGAATGAAGTGACTGTTAGCGGCTAAGCAACTCGAAAGCCGGAGGGTCCAGCTTGTTCACTTTGCCCCGTGTCCCGGCCTTACGCGGAGGGCCAGTCTCCTAGTGTGCAGGGATAAGAGCAGTCCCTCCCATCACCTCCACGGCCCGGCCGCCTCACAGGCTGCTGCTGCAGCTGCTCCTCCCCGCGAGCCCCTCAGAGGTACCTCGTGCCCTGGCTGCCGGGTCCTGCAGTGCCCTGGCGCGGCTCTCACAACACCCAGCGGGGCGCTGCCCAGGCGGGGCTCTCTGCAGCTGGCGGGGGCATGCCTAACACCCGTGCGCAGCGCTGCCAGCTCCCGGCTCCAAATCCCAGTGAGCTGCTGCAGCGGCACCCGGCCCTCCGCGGGGCGGTATCGCGAGAGCCGAGCGGGGCCCGCCGCAGACTCGCCGGGGCGCAGGAGACAAGCCGGTTCCCCGCCCGGCCGCGGAGCACGGGGTCATTGCACCACTCCGAAGTGCCCCGGCCCTGCGCTGCAGCCGCCAGCACGCGGGGCGAGTGGGGAGGGACAGGGCTCCCGGGGCGGCTCCCGCCCCCACCCCCCATGCGGCCCCTTCTAGCTGCGGGCGAGAGCCAGAGACCCGCGGCCGGACGGGTCGGGGAAGGTGATCCCCAAAGCGCTGCAGAGGCTAACGGCGCGGGCTCGGCCATGCTGCTATGCTTAGTGCAAGTTCCCACAGGGCCCTAGCGAGCGCGGTGTTCAGAGCCAGCCCGGCCGGGAGCTGCAGCCCTTCTCCCTAAAGCACGCGTAGGGCAAAATGGGGTGTGCGTAAAAGGTTTAGTCTAGTCATTTGCCTCCACAACAGTCCCTCTTTTAAGGTCCCGCCACACTTCGTGCATCAGTTCCACATGCATAACCTTCTCCTCACCGCACTGCCCCTGGCTTATTCCTAAATGCCGCCTTAGCTTTCTGACAAGCTGCAGCCAGGCACTGACCGACCTTTAACCAATTCATCCAGAACATGCAACGTTTGTAAAAAGAGATTAAGGCTTCCTCCAAATCAGCGTTACCCTTCATAAGTCCCCGTTGCCCAACTTGATGTGATTTGGGGGGGTGGGGGAGTGTAGGGGGGGGCGGCTGAAGTTCTCACAATGCAACCAGGAGTTGGAAGCTGAACTCCCACGCTAGTTTAAAAATTCAAAGATAGAAGGCATATGATTTATCATGCATTAGTAAGGACTCTCAGACACAGGAGTACCATTTGTGTATGTACTGTATAATTATGCTACAACTTCACCCAGGAAGGGGTGGGCTATGGAGAAGAGGACATTCCTTCTTGCTAGTTAACATTTTTTCAAAGGTCAAAAACTGGACCCAATATGACTTATACACAGCAGCATTCTAAAAGTTAACTTTGCATTCTAACAAGTTTGCAAGCTGCACTTTTTAGTACCGGAAAAGGTTAAATTATGATACACTAGCAAAAATTGATTTTTGATAAAAACTAGATGAACTATTGAGCATGAGATAAGGCATTTCTTTCACAACTACAAATTTGTTGTTTGGCAGGTGGCATTAAATAGATTACTGGCTGCAAAATTCAACAAAATTAGTGCAGTAGACCCAGTAAAATGAGTGAGACAGTGGACATTAGGCAAGGAAGAAGTCTGATCAAAGAGCCCTAAAAAGGGCAAGGAACTTGGATCTAGAGAGGCAATGGAAACAGGCAGTGATTAGGAAAAGAGGCCCAGAGATTGCAGCAGACATGAGCGTCAAAGAAGCCCACAACACATCTGAAAGAGATTGCAAGACCCTTTGAAAACGATCCTTCATGAAAGGAGTTTGACAGTCTAAGTTAACTTTGCTTTTGAGTGCCCTGTTAGCAGAGAGGTGTGTGTGTCAGGAGAGGAATTTTTGAAAATAAGTATCTTGATTTCACGATAGCATTCTTGGAATCTCTTCTGCTCATGGTCTGTCTAGATCAGGGGTAGGCAACCTATGGCACACGTGCCGAAGGCGGCACGCAAGCTGCTTTTCAGTGGCACTCACACTGCCCGGGTCCTAGCCACCAGTCTGGGGGGCTCTGCATTTTAATTTAATTTTAAATGAAGCTTCTTAAACATTTTAAAAACCTTATTTACTTTACATACAACAATAGTTTAGTTATATATTATAGACTTATAGAAAGAGACCCTCTAAAAACGTTTAAATGTATTACTGGCACGCGAAACCTTAAATCAGAGTGAATAAATGAAGACTCAGCACACCACTTCTGAAAGGTTGCCGACCCCTGGTCTAGATGTGTGTGTTCCACATATAAACCTTACATGAGAAGAACTCCATTCTTTACACAAAAGTAGTGTGAGTATTCAACACCTGCTGGCAGAAGCTAGAAATATATGGCTAGGGCCAAATCCTTTTTCCAGGGCAGAGCCCAAGTATATGGCATTTGCACTGGAGAGATCAGCAGGAACAGGAAGACGACTATTCATGTAGCATTAATGTTGCTTTTGTTGAATGGAATTTCCAATAGAAAGCTAAGTTCTGTTTTTTAGTAGCAATATTAGTTTAAGTTGAGCTCATCAGGGACAGGAGCTGTCAACTGAAAGTGCTCCTGTAATGCACAAAGCTCATATCTCCTTTTCAATATTTCAAGAGCTTTCTATATTAAGATCTGAGATGGTTAGAGCAATGCTATGAAACTGAACTAGAATTTTCATTGCCTGGGCATTTTAAGATTCTTCATTAGGATTACCAAAACTATTCAAACACAAAGGGGGGGAAAATAGATTACCAACATGAAGTAGTTATAGTGCAATAATGACAACTACTGTCATAAAAAAAGCCACTGCCACCTCTTTCATGGAAACAATTATGCTATCAAGCCCTTATTTGTATCAAACTATAAATGTTACAAATACGAACAATTTAAAGTCTGGTACCCTTTTCTTAGCGTCATATGGTATTTATAACACTACTTTGCTCATTAAAATAAAAATAGAGGAATGAATTTGGCTTCACATAAAGCAGCATACCTACCAAATACAATCACAGAATAAGAACCACCACATAGAACCATCTCCCTCATTCACAAATGGAGTTTTGACAAGTAGGTATTGGGTAAAGGAAAATTAAACTAGATCTATGACAAGATAAACAGATCTTTCACCACTCACTCCATTATGTTGTATTTTCACTCATGCAAGTATAGCAGGCTTGTGAGTAGAGAAGTAGGTTTGCATTAAGACTTTTCATTCCTATCCAAGCCTTAACAATGGATCCAGTGTGTGTGTGGCTCATTGTTAAGGAACTGGAAGCGACTCACAACACCAACACAATCTTCCTCATTTTGAAATACAAATGGCTGATGAAGACAAAGCTGAACTGAAGAGTGTCATCAGAGGTTAGGAGAACAAGTCTATCTATGGTAACTTGGTTATGAAGCACCCTCCAGAGATCAATATGAAAAAACAAACATGCAGTACGTTTCCACCGAAATATTGGAATTGCACTCAACAGTATAAACAAACAGGGCACTATTATGGTAAGTCCAATGAAGGTGGGGGGGGGGGGAAAAAGAGATCTAAACTAGAAATACACATAAAAGGAATTCCCTGGAATAATAAAGGTGCTGTTAATACCTTGGATTTAACCAATTCCAGATAGAGGGAAGAACCATCTGCATAGGGCCCTGCACATTAGTAACAATAAGTGCAATAAAAGGGACACAGATTTTTTTAAAACTGTCCATGAAAACAACTGCTTATCTAAATCAAAAAAGAGACCTGTCCAAACACATGTGGAAGAAGGCAGAACAGCTGAAAAAAGACTATCAATTAATCTGTACAATACACAAACAAACCCAAGATTCTCTTTTGTGTTGACTCCTAGCTGCAGAGGAAAATGATTCTTTGACATACCAGATTCCATTAAGGTGGGCAAACTATGGCCCACGGGCTGGGTCCAGCCCATCAGGGCTTTGGATCCGGCCCCTGCGCTGCTCCAGGAAATGGCTGGCACCACATCCCTGCAGCCCTGGGGGGTGGGTGGGGTGCGAAGAGGGCTCTGTGCACTGCCCTCGCCTGCAGGCACTGCCCCCTGCAGCTCCCATTGGCTGGGAAGGGGGAACCGCAGCCAATGGGAGCTTCAGGGGAGGTACCCGCAGGCGAGGGCAGCGCACAGAGCCCTCTACTCTCCCCCTACCCCCACAGGGGTCGCAGGGACGTCCCGCTGCGTGCCACTGCCACCCCGGAGCCGCTCCAGGTAAGTGGCGCCGGGCCAGAGCCTGCACCCTGCACCTCAACCTCCTGCCGCACCCCAACCCCCTACCCTGAGCCCCCTCCTGCACCCCAACCCCCTACCCCAGCCCTACATTCACGGCCCTGCATGCAATTTCCCCACCCAGATGTGGCCCTCGGGTCAAAAAGTTTGTCCACCCCTGCACTAGGAGGTTAGCAAAATGAAAGACAACCCGTCTAGTAAAGGCAGAAGCCTTAGAGGTGTATTTGGTTCAGTGCATTAAGCTGCAGGCCTGAAGAGAAATTTGGGGCCTTGGCCCATCATGTTTGCTGGGGTCTCTGCCCTGCTCATTTCTTTATTTATACCAATGTTGAAGACACTTTGGGGGCCCCAGTACAATTGTCCCCCTTTCCCCTGCCTCCCATTAGTTCTGGCTTCAGTGATGCTCTCAAAATAGTTTATGCAATAAGGATGTGAAGTACAGCAATACATACCCCTTCCTGCTTTGTGAAGAGCTTAAGGCAGTTACCCAGAGCCTCACACGTTTCTTTTGATACTTCAGAGACCACTTCAATTTTCTGAAGAAATGAAGGAGGCATTCCTGAAAGTCAAGAAAGCTACCAAAGGTTAGCTGTTTTAGGAGACATCGTAATGACTGATTTTGCACAATTGTTTACTCCCAAATTGTCAACTAAAAATCCTAACTGAATTTTATGTGCTACATCAATACCAGAACAGTAGAAAATACTCTGTCTACAATACAGTGCACAAGTTAATATTGGGGAAGAAACTTTCCCCTTGTCCTGAGCTTAGGAAAGGTTGCAAAAGGTAATTTATTCATGGAGTTGGATACAGTTCCACCACACAGCATGGCTAGGGACACAAGATGGGAGAACTCTGGCCTTCCTGACAAGATTACCCAGCCCTAACCTGGATCCCTCCTTTTTACCCCTTCCCTTGGAGTAAAGTGTGAAGACCTCTCCTGTAAAAGTATTGCATGATCCATAGTCGAAGGATGGTGTGCAGTTACTGCCATCATGTCACACCAGGAAGCTGAAGAAAAACCAAGAAGCCACAAAAGTTGGACAACTGAGTTACCAAAAACAGAAATCAGAAGAGAGACTGGTAGTAAATATCCAGGGGAAGGGGAAAATCTTTGAATGAAAGCTAAGACAATACCTGATGGAGTAAATGGTACAAACAGCACAAAAATATCCCCACTTCACACCCTGAATATAACCATCTCAAATGGATATGTAACAGGGGGTGGAATCATTAGCACTCAGGTCATTTTGTAACTATAACTGTCAGCCTGTTATGCAGGATATAACTCAAGACTCAAGTTTCCCTTTGTCCTTGCTGTAATCCCCTTATTCCTGCATATTAAAAATGGAATTACTCATTCCAAATTAGAAGAAATAGGTTTATTTCATCCTAAAAAATAATAGGGTTGATTTAAAAACCACCACCAGCAGCAACTATGTTGTACTTTTGGGCAACAGCAAATTAAACACCCATCCATGCATCTGCTGGCAAAAACTGATATACCCTTCACGTACCAAGTTGAAAGAAGAGCATGTTCAAGGCTATATAGTGGTTTGTGCAGGGCCAGCTCTAGGATTTTTGCCGCCCAAAGCAAAAACAATTTTGCCCCCCCCCTCCCCGTTTTTTAAATTACCCCACCCCCGGTCCCGCCTCAACTCTGCCCCTTCCCCAAATCCCCAGCCTCTCAAGCCTAGGAGGGAGGGAAGGGGAGAAGCGGCGCCCGCGCCGCGGCCACTCAGAGTCTCCCCCTCCCTCCCAGGTTTGAGAGCCTGGGAGGGAGGGAGGGGGAGCAGCGGCGCGCGAATCAGCTGTTTTGCGTGCCGCGGTCGCTCGGGATCTCCCCCTCCCTCCCAGGTTTGAGAGCCTGGGAGGGAGGGGGAGACTCGGCGCAGGCACCGCTTCTCCCCCTCCCTCCCAGGCTCTCAAGCCTGGGAGGGAGGGCGAGTAGCAGCGCGCGAGCAGCAGCGGAGGTGAGCTAGGGCGGCCGGGGAACATTTTTAGGGGCCGCATTCTGGCGCTGGCCATGCCGCCCCTAAAAATGTGCCGCCCCAAGCACCAGCTTGTTTTGCTGGTGCCTAGAGCCGGCCCTGGGTTTGTGGCAAGCCTGGATTCTGTGTCTGTCACACAAACCATCTACAAGCATTATATTCATTGCACTACTGCTACAAAAGGAGGAAAGAAAGTAGAGGTAAGTTTGAACTAGGTGTCTGAGTTTGCAGCATTTCAAAGAGGTCAGATGGCCTTGATAGTGACTACACAGATTACAAGTACAAGTATCAGTCTCACTAAAAATGTAAGTACTGTCCTGGTGCAAATACAAGAGTCTGAAAATTCAGTGGTGCCAGTTGTATGACACCCTCCAGTGTCTTTTACAAGCCACACAAGAGCACTTTTACTCAACATGCTAGAAACTACCCTAGATATTACGTGAATGTTTGTACTTTGATACATTGCAAGAAAGTTTTTGGCTTTATTAGACCTATATATATATTTTGTGTAATACAAGGGCTTCCACCTCTGGAGCCCCTAATTAAAACTCAGGGTGGACTTAACAGTTCTACCTGTGACCATCAAGTTGGATGGGCACCTTCCAAAATGAACGATACAGGCAATATTCTACTTTTCACCTCTCCTACATTCAGTTGCTTTTTTTCCTTATTTGATATGAATGACATGCACCCAAGCTCTTCCTCCAATATTGTTTTGAATGTTTGGCAAAAAAGTTTTAGAACATGGTCCAACTATCACCAATCTTAGGCTCATTTTAGGCTTTTCCAGTAGTTAGGTCCACAATAGAGGGCCATCTTGCAAAAGTCCCATCTTCAGTTCACAAGAGTTTCACCTTGGGAAAGGCTAGCTATACTGCCCCCACAGGAGCATGGTTGTCTGACGCAGTCAGACCACAAGTCACTGAAGTCCTTCAAATCAAGACAACACCAATTCAGAGCAATGGTATGTGATCTGAGAACAGGTGCAAGCCACACTGTACTGGTGCAATGCTTCCTGTGGTGAACCACTGGGATTGTGCCCTAGATTGAATATGTGCTGTCTCTATATTTCAGTCCTAGATAAATCAAGTTACAAACAGAAATTGGTAGGTGACAAGCCGGGAGCGGTGCAGGGCTAAAGCTGGTGTCCCCCCCAAACCCCAAAGCAGCATGGGGCTGAAGCTGGCAAACCTTCCCCCCCAAGTCAGAAGCTGGGAGCCACACTGGGAGCCCCCCTTTGCCTGTACACAGCCCCTAGCTACCTCCTGCCTGCACCCTGAGCTGTTTTCAAAATTTTTGAACCAAGTCCCCCCCTTGAGTTATATTTTTTGGTTGCATCCCACCACAGCCCAGACAGACTGGGTGGCCTCCTGCGTGAGTCAGGGGGTGGGGTGGCGCTCCCTCCCTGGACCCCACTATGCGGAGTTGGTTCAAGCCCCACCAGCTCTTCTCCTCTCCCCCCCATAGAAGTAAAACTATGCCTATGCCCAATGGTGCCCCCAGCCTGAATCCTCAAGTTCCCCCCCACCACCACCCCTGCTGGGCCCTGGGGTCTTTATAGCATGTTGAGGGGGGCCTCAGCAAGAGAAAGGTTGAGAACCCCTCGACTAGATGACCTCTCGAGGTCCCTTTCAGTCCTACAATTCTATGATTAACAACTAGCACTCTAATTTGAGCTTAGTAAATTTTAACCACTGTTAAAAGTAGTAAGGACACAAATATACACAAAGGCCAGATCTGTTTATTAAAGATTTTTGTTTTTAAAGCCCCCACTTTTCAGATTATAATATAATTTGAATTCTCAAAATTACCAGTTTTAGAAGTTAAAAATCCATTGATTTCAATTTCATATTATGCATATATGTATATACAAGGCACTAGCCCGAAACAAGTGCAAGTCAGTATCTCTTAAGAAGTTTGATGCCTGTACATAATAGCTAATAAACTGGAACTCTGCTGTTGTATGCAAGTGTCCAATGGAAACAGTGTGTGATATACAAAAATTTGTAAGCTCTCCAACCCACTGTGTCCCCTTTTTGGCACCTTTATACAAGGACACTGGAATATATGCCATCTCACTGACCCATTAGTTTCTTTATTACATTTAATGCATCCCTATTCCACAAGTTCAGTGCACCACAGCTTTTTTTACTACAATGAGCAAATACATCATACAAATCAAGGGAGGAGAGAAGCTAGAAGCAGCAGCTGATCTCTTGGCAGTAGGGAGAGTAGCAAGAGGGCTTTTGGTACCTTTAAGGGGACAATAAAAGCTACTGCTCTTGTGTTATTTATGTGGTTCTACAAGTGATTCCAAATCAGGACGAGCTCACCTATACACTCAATTATCCTGAAAATACTATTTATGATAAGTTTCACCATAGTTTAATCCTCTAGGAAGTTGTATTAACCGCCTCAATTGATGTAATGCATCAGCAGAACCACTAGCTATTGTAAGTAATAAGTTGACATTTATTTGAAAACTGAAGTATTCAGTCTCAATTTCTAATTCAAAAGCAGTGGTCCTATACTCACAGGCATCTTATTTTTCCATTTTGGTGAAGTTTTATTTGACAAAAGGTAAAAAAAATCAGGAAGTCCATCCAAGTGGCTTATCCAACACAGAGCACATCATGAAACTGCAGAAAGAATTGCAATTGCTAACAGTGTTACCTTTAGTGGTGTTGCACGATTTCATCATTGTGAGGAAGTTGGAAATCTCTTTATCTAGCCTTTGTTGACATGTTTGTGCCTTCTGCAAACAAAGATCAAAAGCTATTTAAAACATGTACTTCTAAATGGAAAAAGTTCACATTCTATTAAACATACTAAAGTTTGCTTATATACAAGTTAGAGATACCTAACAATTTGAAATTTTTCATTTTTCTGATAAGAAAAATGTGATTTTATACGGTAAATCAATAGATGACTGGTGCCTCCCCATATTGGGGGGCACCAGCTAAATGGGAGGACAACCTCCCCATGTATCTCTGCCCTGCCCCCATGCTCTTCCCCCCCCCAACCCCACATTACTTGCAAGGGGGAGGGGCTCTGTCCTCCCGCTGCACTGGCTCCCCCCAGCACATTCAGCTGCTCTCCCTGGCAGCCAGGCCCAGGTGGGGAGCGGGACGGAGCTGCTCCCGGTCACTGCTCCTTGCAGCATTGCCAACTGCCTGGGAGGGAGCCCTACTGGGGAGGGGTGGCAGTGGCAGCCCACTCCCTGCCCAGGCTCAGCTTCTGGGGATGGGGGCCGAGCATGCCAGGGAGAAGGGGGCGCCTCTGGCTCGCTTGGCTGATGTCCGTGGAAGCTGAGCCTAGGTAGGGGGCAGCCTGCCACCACCATAGCCAGACCCTCTCCCAGGCACCAGTAGGCTGCACCGGGCAGCGTCCCAGCATGGCTGGAGGGGTTCTGGCCCCACCCCTTCTGTTCCCCACCCAGGTGGCTACTGGTGGGGGGGGCCACTGGACCCTCCATGCCCCCCCCCCAACGAGTCGCTCAATCTGGAGTGTCCTCGGAAGTGTGTAAAAAAGCTTCATGTATTTCTCTCTCTCAAGAAGCATCACTGCACATTTAAATGGCTATATCCAAAACCACTTTAATTGCAGTAATTCCAATAAACTTTTTAGAAACAATCAAGTTTTGTTCAGAGACCAACAGTTACATAAGCTATTTTCCTCCCAATTTAGTCTTGCCACTTAGGGTATGTCTACCCTGTACTCTAAGCCCAGGCCTGTAGAACATGGACTCTGTTTCTGAGCCGGTGACTGAGCATCCACGCTGCAACAGAAGCCTGGGTTTGCAGTTGCTGGACCCAGTTCTCACAGCTGTGCTAACATGACCATATTGCACTACGTAGACATTTGGCATGGGTCTGCACCTTGACCTGTATCCACACTGCAAAATGACAGGGCTTGGACCTGAATCATAGTGGTACTCTGGCTCTAATCCACGCCCTACAACATGGGTCCTGAGTGCTGCTGACCTGAGTCAGACTGATTTATGTGGGGATGGAAAGGGGTTTTGGGCTCAAATCAGAGTCCAAGCCATGCCTTAGCATGCAGTGAAGACATACCCTTATCACAGGCAGCCTCCTTCAGCGCTTTAGCTGATTAGAGTGGACAAATGCTGGCAAGAGAAGAGTTAAACCCAGAGCTTCATTTTTGGATATCCAAACACACAGGAAGGGGCAGGCACTGCCTCTCAGGATCAGGTCCTTCGGCTCCATTGTAGTTTGGAGGCATCTACTACTTATACAAAACATCCCCATTCCAGTGAAGTCCCAAATAAACTTTACTTATGAATAGTGATTACAGTATGCATTGCTGTATTTGCAGAGTAACTAGGACACTTGGCATCACTTCAGATTTGATTTAACATGTTAAAGAAAAGAAATAGCCTCTGTAAACTCCCTTTGTAGAGGGAATATAAAGACCACTCATGAAATTTATAGCTAAACAAAGCGTTCTACTGCCAGAGATGCATCAGTCTCTGGGAGTACAAGTCTGTCAAGTTGACACAGCTAAGAACTCTCAGATTTCACAGCATAAATTTAAGCACTAATGAAGTAAGTTTAGTTTAACTAGAGCAGAATTATTCATTAATCATGTAAGTGACATATGATGCTGTTTCTCCAGTAAAGAGAACAGTGCTCTAGTGCTGTTGCATTCTACAAGTTATTTGGCATGAACTGGTCATAAGACTACATAATATGACATTCAGGCTGTAATAAGTCACTTCAAAGCTAAAAAGCATCACATTGTTCTAGACAACATTTCATGTATTACCCTTTGTGACAAGAGGTTGTCGGGGGAGGAGGGAGAGCAGGGGTGAGAAGAGGCACATCAGTCAAATATACTCTTTAAAAGAAAGCCACTGTTTGGGCCTACATGTCTAGGAGGGAAAGGCTACTCTAGAACTCTAACCCAGCACTTCTACTCCTTTTTTAAGAAAAGAAAAATACCCACCTAAAAAAACCCCTAAACCCATATTTGCTCAAAGTAAAGAGGGATCAACTTAAAGTAAAGAATCTGTTTGTAGCCTGGAACAGAGAGGGTCCACATGAGCATTTACAAAAGGTGTTAGTTACCAATTCACTCAAGTTACTTTAACTAGGAGACGTATACACTACTGGCATGGTGGCTCTAAATGTGGTGTGTTCAAACAGGGTTAAAAAGGTTAGTAATCTGGTCAACTAACAGTGTGTCAACTCTAACAGAGGGCTAGGCTGGCACAGTGTTGTCTTCATGTAACTTATTTTTGCAGCATGACTAGGACATTAACTGGTTTGGGCTGGTCATCTTCCTTCCAACTCTGTGGGGCAAGACACTGCACCACATGCTGCTGGCTCTGTTTTATGTGGGAATCCTCCAGTACAGTGGCCTCTGACATTTTAGCTACCCTGCTCAAAGAAGATTTAGACAATGATAGAATTCCAGCAGACTTTCTAGACTAGCATTCTCATTGGTGGCAGCAAGACAGCGTGGAGGTTTGAAATAAAGTGCTGGGGGTAGCCAAGGAACAATGGTGACCCTGTCTCATTAGAAAAATGAAGTTGTAGTGGAGCAAGCTGTGAGGAGATTAGTTTCAGGGGGTTTCTTCCACTCAGATGTCAAATCCAAGGTCTGGTCTATACTACCCGCCTGAATCGGCGGGTAGAAATCGACCTCTCGGGGATTGATTTATCGCGTCCCGTTGGGACGCGACAATCGATCCCCGAATCGGCGCTCTAACTCCACCAGCGGAGGTGGTAGTAAGCGCCGCCGACAAAAAGCCGCAGAAGTCGATTTTGCCGCCGTCCTCACAACGGGGTAAGTCGGCTGTGATACATCGAATTCAGCTACGCTATTCACGTAGCTGAATTTGCGTATCTTAAATTGACTCCCCCCTGTAGTGTAGATGTACCCCAAGACTGAAAACTACATGGTAAAAAGCCCTGGGACTTGTTTAAAGACTCTTCAGAGCCCTTGCTGAAAAGTCTTCAAGGAATGAGGAGTTTCAACTATGATTATGTACAACTTTATAAAATTAAATATCAGCATGTATATAGTTGTCCTCTCCACCCCCTTTCATCCTCTGCATGTTGCTTCTCTTCAAATTATTCTTTTATAAGGTACCTTGAGAGGAGGGACTATTTTCTTCCTTCGTGGACATTACCAGAACACAAATAAGGTTGTGTTTTACCAAAAAGCATGTGCATTTCATGTAGTTTTTCTACAGAATTAGGAGTGTATCAATATTAAGGATAGTTAAAAATTTTCCATCAAAAGACTGTTTTAACAGCAAACTGGGTTTTTGACTAGTTATTTGGGGGGGGGGGGGGCAGGAAGTTTCTGCTTCCCCACAGAAGCATTTAGACCTTTGTCAAAAATAAACTAAGATTTGGGATTGCATCCACAGTGCCTCTTGGGTAGGGTGGATAAAAATCAATGATTTAAAATAAATTAAAAAAAAAAATAGGATTTTTTGATAAAATGTTTTGAGGAAAAAACCTATCTAAAGATAGTTTTAATTAAGATATCTTTGAGCTATAATGTATCTCATCATGGAATAGGGATTATAAATTCTAATTTTATAGTACGAGACAATATATTCATGTCATGTTTAAGAAAAGTTTTGTAAATGAATTCCAATAGTTCATGGATTAGGGACCCAATCTTATGGGATTCCAGGGGCTTCTGTATAGATTATTTAGGTTAATCTTTCTGTTTACCCAATGGGACTCAGTGCTCAGTCTAGAAGATATCAGATGCTTAGTTTTGCAGTTTTCAAACTGTGGATTTGTGTCTCCAGAGATAACATGCTTGTTAACAGCAAAAATGTTTTAAAATAAATATATAGAGGTGAGAAATAACAGCTCTCAACCCTATTGTCCCTCTGCAAATTTGTGTACACAGTCAATCCCTTACCTCTCTCTAAAAGTGCAAAGTTTCAAAAAGTTCAATGAATAGAAGATTGTTGGAGGCAGAATAGATCTGGACAAGGAGAAGAAGTGTGGAGACAAATATGAGACAGGGACAGGCAGTAGAAACAAAAGTGAAACTTTTTGAGCAGCATATTCCAGAAGTCTTGAGGTCTTTCTGAGTGTAGCCTTTATTGATTTGAGATCTACCATACCATTCTCTCACTAGAAGGGAAAACCTATAATGGCAGCAGGCCCTAAAAGAGACCCAATTTGGGAATAAGAACCATTCAAGAAATGTTTGCTGATGTTTTAAAGAAAGTCACACCAGTGAACTGGTGGAAATCACTTAAGTACTTGGATTCAGAGACTGTTGAAGTGATAATCTCACTTTTAACAGCAGTAGCTTCTTCTGCCGGTGTAGAAAGAATATTTTCTTCCTTTGGACTAATTCATTCCAAATTGAGAAATCGTTTGGGACCTGAAAAAGTAGGAAAGCTTGTTTTTCTTTTCCAGATTATGAACAAACAGTATTTGAAGTTTCTCATGTTGACCTGGCTGACATAGTTGATTTAATTTTGGGGTTTTTTTTTGAAAAAAATATTTCATTTAACTATTTTAGTTGAAAACAATTTTAACAAAAAACAAACCTGATTTTAAAAAGCTTGAATGTTTAACTAAATTCAAAAATTCATATGCTTGTTTTGTTAAAATATTATATGTTTGCTGTTGAAGAAAAAAATCCAGAATATATAACGTTGTTTTAGTTAAAAAAAACAATTTAAATGTCTGTCTGGTGATGTTCTCCTTTTAATACAGCATGGCAAGAAAATCCTCCAAGTATTAATTAACCTGTTGAACTGGAGATTGTTCACCTCCCAATGACTTCATAAATATCGGTTTCAATTACCTTCGGTAAATGAAATAACCAAACAATCATTTAGTTTTACAGCTATATCAAAAAATGATCTGAAAAGTTTCAAAATAAATCATTTAAAAAATGAAACCTACATCTATCTGAGTTGTGAAAAATATGTATTAAGGTTATAACAACCAACAAGAATGCACTTTATTTAATCAATTAATCTACATAAGAGTCTTCCTGACTAGTGATTTAAATCATGATTTAAATCAAATCCACCCTGCTCTGGGGAGCTATAGTTGAGGTGTCATGCATCCCATCTTCCTCTCTGGGCCAGTCTGGCTGAGGGGCCTATCTCCCATGATGCACCACAGCAACTCAACAAAAAGCAAACACTGTGGTACATCAAAGGACATGTAATTTGGTTAGGGAGTGCAGCCCACAGTGAAGAACAGGGCATGAGCCACCATTTCCAAATTGAAAAGTCCCCCCCCAATCAGCTCTAGTCAGTATTTAAACTATTGCAGTAAATTGCAGGAATAGAATTTAGAATTCCAGATATACATGGTCAAGTTATCCTGAAAGAAAGGTTTGCTTTGCATTAGTGTAGCCTTCAGAGTTTCCTGTCTAGTAACCTTGAACTTTTCTGTACCCTACTACTTTCCTTTAATACACTAGACAAACTTCTGCCTTCAGAAAACTTGATGGTAGAGCAGGGCGGGCAAACTTTTTGGCCCGAGGGCCACATCGGGTTTTGTAAATTGTATGGAGGGCCGGTTAGGGGAGGGGGTCGAGGGCCGGTTAGGGGAGGGGGTCGAGGGCCGGTTAGGGGAGGGGGTCGAGGGCCAGCCCCCACCTCTTATCTTCCCCCCACCCCCGGGATTCCTTCCCCATCCAACCCCACCTGTTCCCTGACTGCCCCTCTGGGACCCCTGCCCCAGCCACACACACACACCCACTCCCTGACCGCCCCCAGACCCCTGCCGCCCCATCCAACCCCCCCCCCCGACTGCCCCCCACCCAAGGACTCCTGCCCCCATGCAACCCCCTGTTCCTCCCACGACCACCCCGACCCCTATCCACACTCCTGCCCCTGACCACCCCCTGAACTCCCCTGCCCTCTATCCAACCCACCCTACTCCCTGCCCCCTTACCGCGCTGTCTGGAGCAGTGCTACAGTCACGCCGCCCGGCTAGAGCCGGGCCACTCCGCTGCCACCAACAAGCAGCACAGAGCACCGGATCAGGCTGGGCTCTGCAGCTGCACTGCCCCAGGAGCTCACAGCCCCCGCCACCCAGAGCATTGTGCTGGAGCGAGCAAGCAAGCTGAGGCTGCGGGAGAGGGAGGACAGCAGGGGAGGGGCCGGGGGCGAGCCTCCCGGGCCAGGAGCTCGGGGGCTGGGCAGGACGGTCCCGCAGGCTGTAATTTGCCCACCTCTGTGGCAGAGCCAGCACCACAGCAAGAACTCAGTTTCACAGTAAACTGAAGACCCTCTCGTAAGCAACTTTGAAGTTATGTGAAGTGCCTTGCATTAAGTCAATTCAGATGAGGGCCCTATACATTAACTCTTGTTTCTAAGCAGTATATAAATCAAAACCATACTATATCAGAACAGTATATTGCTGAGGGTTACATACTATAAAGTCTGGAATACCTTAGTGAAGACTTAAGTCTCAGAGGACACTTGGTCAAGTACTTCAAGCTCCCTCTTCTGGCCAAAAGTGCTCAAAACAGTTTAACTTGTAACGGTTCATTTTTGTGTACGTTCTTAAATTACTAAAGATAAGTAGTAGTAGTAGCAGCATACATTCACAGTATTGAGCATGAATGAGATATCACAGACTTATTTCTAAACGCCATCAGTGTTTGTGTCCACTGAGAACATCCAAGTAAATATTACCCAAACTAGAAATGGTAAAGCTGCTCTAATATATCTCTAGTATTCTATAGTTAAAGAATAGCAAGCACCAATTTATAGTTTGCCGGATGTAAAAGCCATGTATTCCCATACATACTTTCAACGTTTCTTGCAATTCTGCAACAGATACTGTATCATCATCTTCCTCGTCACTCAGCTGTTCTTGGGTACAGTAGTGAGTGCTGTACGCAGAGTGGTCTTCTATGGCCTCCAGCCAGTTCTGAAAATAAAGCAGCCACCGCAAGAATTCAGCACACTCATTTTAAAGAGCACACCTCTACTTCAGCAGCAGCTGAACACTGGCACATGTAAGAGCCAACTGGTGCCTCAGAAGAAAGCAACAGCTCAGTTATTTTTTTTTTCCTTAAAGACTCCTTGACATTGTTAGAAAATGCCTAGTGTTTTTAGACAGTTATTCCATTTTCAAAAAGTGTATCATACACAAAGGATAATGGCTTGGTTATTAAGTTGCTGGACAGGTGTTATTTATTCCTTCTTATGACACAAGAACTAGGGGTCACCAAATGAAATTAACAGGCAGCAGGTTTAAAAACAAACAAAAGGAAGCATTTCTTCACACAACACGGTCAGTCTGTGGAACTCTTTACCAGAGGATGTTGTGAAGGCCAAGACTATAACAAAAAAACAACCAACCAACCCACCCACCCACCCCAACCCCCAAAACACACAAACACACACACGATAAATTCATGGAGGATAGGTCCATCAATGGCTTTTAAACAAGATGGGCAGGGATGGTGTCCCTAGCCTCTGTTTGCCAGAGGCTGGGAGTGGGCAGCAGGGGATGGATCACTTGGGGATTGTCAGTTCTGTTCATTCCCTCTGGGGCACCTGACATTGGCTGCAGCCAGAAGGCAGGATGCTGGGCTAGATTTGGTCTGACCCAGCATGGCTGTTCTTACGTTCTTATGACAGGGACTCTTGATCTGGGTTAGCTTCCTTGTTTTGCTAGACTCCAAGTGACTTGCTGGAGGTCATACAAGAAGTCTGTGCCTCTGTTCCCAATCTCCAAAATGGAGATTATACTTCTCTCATCCTGTCTCTTGTCTATTTAGATGACAAGCTCTCTGGAGCAAGGACTGCTTTGCCATTTTGTTTGTACAATGCCTGGCACAATAGGGCTGCTTAAGTCCAAGTTGGGCTTTTAGGCACTATTGCCAGATAAAAGGTGTTTTTGTCCCCAGATTTCTTCACCTCCAGAAGCCTTTAATCATGCCTTATAGGTGAAAGATAAATAGTATGTTCAATACATTTATTACTGTAGCACCTAGGAGCCCTAGTCACGATAGTGCTCTTATTTCTCCCAGCTCCCAGTTTTGGGTAGGACATTATCCCTTGTTTAGGGCGCGTGGCCCTAACCACAGCTTTGAACCTATTTGCAAAAATACACTAATTAACTACCTTTCTTGGTTTGGGATGAGGGATGAGTAAGTTGCAACAGAAGTTTAGGAGCTCAAACAAACAAACAACCTCTCACTATTTAGGCAATGCCAAAAGGCTGAACAGGTTTTCCTATAACCAGCTGTTTCAGCGGTGGAACAGCAACAAACATACAACTATTCTGAATACCGTGTGTCCATGAGCCAGGTCTCTATGCTACTAGTGAATCCAAAAGTATAGTATTAATATACACAGCTCAAGGATTCAGAGTTAGCTCTATGCAACCAAAATTAGATTCTCTCTTCCATCTACACAAAAGTTACAAGATTAGAGACTTAATTAAATTGGTAGTTACCTCTCTAGCCTTAGGAGGAGAGTTTTTAGGCACTTTAAAACTGTGAACACTGTCATCGAAGCATTTGACAGAGAAAAGGCAGCTGTCTGTAGATTTTACCTTTGATTAAAAAAAAAAAAAAAAAAAAGATCATGAGTTTACAGACTCCAGAAACAGGCAACGAAGGTTTAAAAAAAAAGTTTTATCGGCAGTTATAAAATATTAGAGCATAGTACTACTCTAAAGTACTACAAATGGTAATATGGGTTATGTTTGCCCCTGTTTTCAATTCACATGTGCTCAGTTTACAAGCAAAGATGACTTAAACTAGCCACCTGCCACACAAAGGGAGCTTTGTCTAAGCAAAGCTGTTCCTTGCCCTTATCTCATGCATCACAAGTAAAGGCTGTGCAGACCACTAAGCTATTAAATCTGCACATCCCCAATATCTTCAAATTTAAGTCCTCAGCAACCCCTGTGCAACTACTGCTTTCAATGGTTTGCACAGGTGCAGCCAGTTGGAACTTAGCAAGCTTATGGATGCATAAAAACTGTCATTCAGCTGGACTAGGGAGTAGTAAAAAAGGCTGCTATGATCATCCACAAGAAGCAGACCTGCATAAAGTAATGCGAGTCATTTATCAGACTAGAAACTCACTTTGAAGAAACAGTTTAATATAGTTTTAAACACAAGCAGTAAGAAACTGGTACTTACCTTCGCTTCACTGTTGTACAAGATGTATTGCATATGTCCAGAACACTGGCGGTATGCATGTGCTTCATGCACCAGTGCTGGAGAGCTTTTCCTAGCAGTACCCATAGGGGAAGCCACGCTCAGCTCCCTGTGCTGTGAGCAGAGACGCCCCACCCCTCCTCCAGTTCCTTTGTACCAGAACCCAATGGTAGACTCTGATGCATCAGGGAAGAAGGGTGGTCATGTAATGGATGTATGGAACCATCCTGAAAAACTAGTTACATAACTGTTGTTCCTTCGGGTGCTTGCATATGTCCACTACACTGTAGGTGACGCCAAAGCTGTTACCCCAGGAGGCAGAGCTCACGCTCACTGGAAGAGGGATGTATGGCCACGTTGCCTGCATTTACATTATATCCCCTGAAGCTGCAGATGGTGCATAATGTTTGGTAAAAGTATGAATCAAGGACAACATCACTGGTCTACAAATGTCCACAACTGGGACATGTGCCAGAAACGTCACTGAAGTTGAATGTGCTCTGGTGAGCAGCACTGTGAGCCTATCAGGAGGAGTTACTCCTCTTAACAGTGTAAGCCATTGCAATATACCTGCATGTCTGGAGAGGCAGCCACTGACCTGAATAAGTACTGGTATCCTTTAAAGTCATCTGGTACTGGGGGAATGACATCTCCAGTGAGGCCCTGGTACCAGAGAAGAGGAAGTGGTTTACAGTGGAGGCAAAGGAGATGGTCTTGCAGTACCAGTACAGGCTGCAGTACCAGTGGTTATTCCAGAGCTAGCAATGGTAAGTCAAATGCATGGGTTGTCAGGTGGCTGTTCAGTACCATCACTGGTCTCAGGGTACATCTACAGTGCAATTAAAAAAAACCCTGGCTGACCCATACCAGCTGACTCGGGCTCACAGGGCTCTGGCAAAGGGGCTGTTTAATTGCAGTATAGACATTTAGACTCAGGCTGCAGCCTGGGCTCTGGGACCCTGTGAGGTGTGAGCCAGAGTCAGCTGGCATGGGCCAGGCAGGGTTGTCTAACTGCAGTGTAGATAGACTCTCCCTCAGAGCTGGTAGAAGTGTCCCACCTGGGGGAATACTCATGAGAGGAATTGGTTCTGGAAACTGGAGACATCCGCAACCAATAGGGCCATTGTGAGGGGCTAGTATGGTACTAGGCCCCAGGCTTGCCTGGGGCAAGTGTCCCAATCCCTGGACAGACCATCTCCGAGCCCCAGCCATGAGGAACAGTGGTCTCTACGCTCTTGGTACTGGGAAACCCAAGAGTCTGGAGAAGTGTTGGAGCACCCGGAGAATCTGGCGAGGTAAGGTGCTGGCAGAGGTTCTCCATGACCTCAGTCGGGACCTATGCCTGAAGCACAGAACTGGAGCAGCATGGACAGCTTCCAAGCCAGTAGTACTTGGTGCAGGGGATCTTGAGCTGTCCCTATGGAACGTGGCAGTGCTGAGCCTAAGACAAGCGATGCCAAGGACAAGCAACCCGGTGCCTCTAAAAGGCTATGTCAGAGCTAGGTGAGGGTGCTCACATTGAAGCAGAGACGACAGCGATACTGACAGGCATAGTAAGTCTAGCTGCAGCATCAGCCTCCATCTGAGTCTGTACCAACAGGCTGCTGACCCACAGCAATCAGCCAAGACTGCTCTGTCACCACTGGAGAAGTAGCCTGTCACAATGGTCCCTGATAGGGGACTAGGGTTGATGTCTCAGGTCTAAGTGAGTCTTTGCCAGTGAGCAGCAGGTCGAAGGATGCACTCTACCATCAGTACCTGAAGGATCCTTTGTGAAAGTCCCATACCCTATGCTTCAAGGAGCCAGAAGTGGACATAGGCTTGTGCTTCAAGGCCAGGACTTAGATTCCATGGCCTTGAAAAGGACAGTCCTGGAGACTGGGATCTTCTGCAGCCTCTTTCAGCTGACATGACCGGGGAAGCACTTTGGGAAGGAGTCTTTGAAGAGCTTCCCTTAGATGATAGTGGCTCCAACGCTGGAGCTTCCATAAGACTATAATGGAGGCACTCTTCCCTCAGCTTTGTCTAAGTCTTGAAGATTAACAGATAGGTGATCTACATCTCTGATGACAGGTTTCAGAGTAGCAGCCATGTTAGTCTGTATCCGCAAAAAGAACAGGAGTACTTGTGGCACCTTAGAGACTAACAAATTTATTAGACCATAAGCTTTCGTGGGCTACAACCCACTTCTTCGGATGCATCCTTCACCCAAACACTTGAGGCAGTTGGGTTGGGGGGGGGGGGGGAGGGGTGTCACTAACAAGTATAGGCTTCCCACAGCCTGGGCAAGATTTCAACCTCTGGGACCTCGGCATAGGTTCCCTGGTACGAGGCAGGGTCCAAAAACCCACCAGACTGGAAGGACCCCAAAAGAAGGGCTAAATCAAAATGAAAAAGGATCAAGACTTTTTTTTTCGGAGTAATACTAGGTAGATTGGTGTTCTTGTGAACGACTCAATGCTCCAGCTACGGATGTAAGAAGGAACTATAGAGGCAGTGCTGTCTGTCCTTTATACTCTCACCTCTATGTGTAGCACTAGAGAAAGTTCTCCAGCACCACGGCACAGGACACACACCCACACCGTAATGTACATATACGAGCACTCAAAGCAGTAACGTCACTACTGCAAATAGATTAAATTTTGCTAGAGGCATATATTGAGCACCATATTTCTGAAATTCCACTTATTAAAAAAACCAAACCAAAAGCCAATCATTTATGCTTAATTAAAAAATAATCACAGGTAGCTCCTGGCAAAAAATTTACAGTGAAGAGAAGTCTAACAGTTTTTCACATTCTTTTTAGATAGCAGGTATAACTAGGTTATAGTTTGTTTTTTAAGATTGCTTATTAAGATTATTAAGCGCTAAAGAGGGGAGGATTTTTTTTAAAAAACCTGATATTGCAGACTTGAGATGTAGGCTCAAAGCAACTGGAATAGTCCCCGTCCCAACTCCTTACACTTACTGCTTATTACCTGAGCCCCCAGAGTATACCCCCTACACATGGCTTTCTACATGTCCAAATAGTGCCTCCCATATCTATCTTGCTACTTTTAAGCTGCGTAGTGTCCTACTGCCTCCCTCTGCCAGAGCCTTTAGCAGCATATAGTAGCACTGTGCAATGGTAAATATGGATGCAGCCTGCCTTGCACTGCGGCATGTACACACACCTGTAGTGCCTGTACTCTACACACTGCTGTAAGTATAGATGTAGATTTATAGATACAAAAGGGTAAAATTCTTTATAAAAAGTGTTATTTCATGCCACATATTACAAACAAAATAATGATTCTGTACTATATATTACAGAGGGGCATCACATAAGGCATGAAATATGGGAAGTCATTTAAGCCACAGTGATCTGGAAAAAAGTTGAAGGAACTGAGCCAGAAGCCATATGTAGTGACTTAGCCAAGGAATTCATAGTCTTTATGTGCACAATACCAGTGTATGACTGGTATTTTAGAAGCCCTGCTTCACATCCTACCGTGCAGACAGCTTGTGTTAGGTGCTTGCATCCTTGGCGATGATCATTATTTACTGCTTCAGCCCTTTGGAAGATTTAAAAAAAAAGATTTTAAAGTGGAAAGGTAGGGGTAATTAAGATTCTAATTATCAAGAAATTAAGTGTGACACTTACTGTTTGCGATACCAGGAAAGGACGCCGTGTTCTAGTACTACCCAGTAAAGTTTCCAGCCAAAAAACCTTAAACTCTAAAAGAGAATGTTAGTCATTTCAAAGGCCATTGCTACTCCTGATAACTGATAGCAGTACTTGGTGGCTAACAGTCTACATTACTTACAGCTTGCTTTTTTTTTTTTTTTTTTTACACTTCAAATGTGATCCAAGAGTTATCTCTATTAAAACTCTCAACATTAAATCAGCATCTGTTTTTTCAACCATTCTATTTCCTTCCCCAAGAAGTGGGAGAACATTTATAAAAACCAAGTACAAGTTTGGTTGTATCCACAAAGACAACAACATTTATGGAGTTTTAGTAAGCATTGTTACTCAATAGGAAACTTCCTGGTCAATTAAGTTTAGCTTTGTTGTAGTTCAGCACTCAATATGGCCATCCACATATCTGATCCCTTATACTGGAATGGCAGTTAGTACCTACCATAAAGGTTTCTTACATATTACTATAATCAAAGTAACTCATCTAACCAGACACGTGCAACAAAAAAACTGAAGATAGAATTCAGATAGTGGGAAGTGACCTGAAGGGTTGCCAGATGCACAGTAGGGTCTGCTTTTAAGAATTTATAGCAATGTTAAGAGATGCCTAAAAATCAAGTCTTTTAAATCGCCATTAGATAGCATGAGGAGAGTGTGCTTTACAAGCTGCAGCTTAATATTTTGGTTTTTAGGATGTAAATAAATGCTTTTATATCAGCAGTTAACCAACTTTGTGAATTATTACTCTGAACTTTGGTTTAAGCCAAAGTATTTGTAGGATTTTAAAAAAATATATATTCTTCAAAAGTTCTTGAGAGAAAGTTGCTTCATGTATTGTACTTAAACACATCTTTATAGGATTGAGAGAAGTTGCATAAAGGATTTTCCCTATAATAAATCATGAGAGCTAGAACATCTTTTGGGGACTGTACAGAACAGAAATGTTTGTAAGCTTTTATTACCATCTTCCCTATAATTCAGTTTTCAAGGCTTTTAGGAATGGGCTCTATCCTATGGGTAATGCTGAATAGCAGTGAGCCAGTAGTCAGATTACCTAGATCTTTATGTGGCCTTCAAAACTGTAGTAGAAACACAGCCCAATTATTAATGGAGTTGGCTCTTTAAAAGGTAGAGAAGTACTATCCCCACTGTACAAATGGGAACTGTGACACAGGGTAGATGAAGCAAGACTTGTCCAAGGTCAGAGGGAGCCTGTGGCTGAGCCAGGTATTGCACTTAAATGTCCTGAATCCAGGACCAGCCTTCCTATCCTAGGATTAGTTTTGGAAATATGTTGTGATATACCAGTCAAGATATCACAGAAAAGCCACCATCCATCAGCCCCCTCTCAAGAACAGAGAATACAATCTTCTGGGATAGACTTTGAAAACAATGTTTGGGTTGTTTTATGTATTACGAAAAGGGAAAGTAAAAGAAAACATACCTTCCACAAGAGACCTTCATATCGTTTCAGGCGTTTGTTGATCACCTATATAAAATAAAATATTTAAAAAACAATAACATTTATCCAACTGATTGTTTCTTGAACAGTTTAATATAGGATCTTTTGTACCCACCTTTCCAATGCTTCCTGCAAGTATCTGTTTCATTTCTGCACCTTGGGCTAGATCAAATGGTGTCTGGTCTGTTTAATAACCAAAATAAAATCCAGAAGAGTTTAGCTTTAATTAGGAGTTAGATCTGTTGCAGGACATTTAATGCTGTGGATAGGTATTATGTAGTAATTATACTTAATATGGCATAAGGTTTCTATTCAGCTCTGAGGGAAAGCAATGGCAATCATTTGCTTGTTTGAACATTACTGATAGGAAGAAGAGCTGGCAGGAGAGCGGTATACTAGCTATGATTCACTTCCTACAGTAAGACACCTTCTGAACTTCCTATGTTTCTACACCAATACTCCTACCTTACAAGATTTGCTCACTTGCCAGACAAGAGCAATTCTTAATTGACCGATAAATTGTATTATATTTGTTATGCTAAAACTGTGGGCAAGCTGAATTTTGCTAGAATTGGTAAGGAAGAGTTTTGCTAGGATTACAGAAGCCTAATTTTACTCCAGTCAACATCTGCCAGTTATTTACTTGTAATTTAACCAGAGAGTGTTACAGTCAATTTAATAAAAAAGTGACAAGATAAACTTTACAGGTGGGATTTTCAAGAGAACCTGAAGTGACACAGGAGCATCAGTCCCAATGACTTTCCATGAACTGAAAATTCTATCCTCTGCTTTTACACTGCTATGCTCATCTCTGGCGGAGTCAACAAAAAGTGACTCAGTACCTGTCTACGTGGTGCAGCAACACAGACTGCAAGGGTGTGAATTCTAATGCACACCAACATGTTGCACACTAACTGGCCCCTGCGGACACTGCTGGTGAGCACTAAGAGCTACCTACTGCATTTTAATTTAGTACACGAGTTAGAGTGCAATAGGGAACTTTTAGTGAAGACCCTGTTGAGGTACACAAGCCAGTTACGATCCAACACATTGTTGTGCATTAGAACAGAAGTTCTCAAACTGTGGTCCGCGAGCTCCATTCAGGTGGCCCACGGATAGTTCCCTCTAAGGCGCACATGAGAGAATGAAGGGCCAGCCACCTAATTAGTGGAGCCGCACAGGCATGGCTCCACTAATTAGGTGCCTGGACCCTGGAGAAGACACACATGTAAGGTGAGGTGGTGGCCTTGGGGGGGGAATAGGGGCCAGGTGGGAGGGGGCAGTGGGGTGAGAAGAGGGGGTGGGTAGAATTTGGGATGTGCAGGGCTGTGGTGGCCAGAGAAAGAGGCGATTTCCCCAGCTCCAGGGCTGCGGCTGCCGGAGAGAGGGCCCCCCCACCCTTCCCAGCCCCAGCTTGGGGGCTGCCACAGCGGGGGAGAGAGGGCACATCCATCGCATTAGAAAGGTAAGACTACGAATATTAAAATACAAGTTGTGTGCTTTTATTTGTAGACTAAAAAAAGATTAAAAGGTTGGGGGTTTTTTGTTTTTAATATAGTGCTTTTATCCAAAGCGCTTTACAATAGTTTTAGCTAATGGAATAAACAACATTTGGCAAGATCATTAAGTGGTCCGCTGAGACCCTCAGCAATTTTCAAGTGGTCCACGAAAAAAGTTTGAGAACCACTGCATTAGAATTCATAGCCTGCAGTTCGCATTGCTGCACCATGCAGACCAGCCCTCACACCTAATAGTTAAGCAGTGACTAACAAGTACTTCCATAAAATGACACCAGTTTAGTTCCTTTGCTTCATATTTAAACTGTAAGAACGTTACTTACCATTTTTGTTTCTGATTTTAGAGTCTGCACCATTTTTTAAAAGTTTTAAGGCACAGTGCTTGTGAGCACGGTATGCTGCACAATGTAATGGTGTATTTCCCATCTGATCAGTACAGTTAATATCAGGAGGCTTTGGCCTGTTCAACTAAAAAAAATCCAAAACAAAAAAAACCAGAGTGTTATATGTACAGGTTAATTTAGTTTTCCTATTGCACTACATATAGCCTGAACAATTTAGGGTCAAGTATCTGCTCCCTGCCCCGAAATCTTGACATATAGACTAGGCACTGAAAAGTAAGGTGACGAAAGGGGGTCATGCTCTGGGAAGCGCGAGGGCTACAGCAGCGAAGTGAGAGGTTCAGTTAAAAGTAACTACTTCCCTGTGTTCTTGGCTTAAGTGTCCCCATCCCATCTCCCATGCGCAATATAGCACAGAACTGGCTGCATTTCTATGATACTCTTAATAGTTTAAATATTTTGGGTTCCTTTGAGAACAGGAAGACAACAGAAATTGAGTTTAGAGAATTCTAAAATAGAGAACCTTTTACCAACAAGGCTTCTGAAGTTAATAAGGACAGTACGAACACAAAAAAAATATTCAGTGTTCAGTTCACTGTATCTAATTCAATATAGGTGTGTACCCATCATTTATGTCCAAGATGTCCTCATTTTGTTCAGAAGCATGTCTGGAAGGAGTATAAAAACTCAATGGGAAAACTCTGAGGCAGTTGCTAAAAAAAGCCAGTGCATAAAAGACAAGATTTACAGGAAAATCTTAACTCATTAGGGAAGGGATTATTCTGTCCCTTGGGCAGCAGAGTAACAGATATACAAAAACGATTTTAGCAGATTCAAGAGAAAACCGATATGGCTTCTGTAACATGGCACATGGCTAGTAGAGAAACTGCTGCCATGAGAGTTCCCTACTCTTTTGAAGCTATTTGTGGTAATACAGTGGCTCTCAAAAATGTATTTGATCAGGCCCCCCTGCTTTGTGTCTGTAGTTATTTATGCTTCTCCCCTAGCCCCCATACATATGTCACCAGCCAGCTCTGAAGGCAGAGTGGAGAGCAGCAGCTGCTGGCTGGGCACCCAGCTCTGAAGGCAGCTCCCCACCAGCAGCAGCACAGAAGTGATATTCATCAATATCACTTTTTGCAGCAGACTTAATACCCCATTGCAACCCTTACTTCTGCGCTGCTACTGCCACCCCAGGGCTGACAGCTGGAGCCCTGCCGCCTCCCAGTGAGGAATGGGGGAAGGAGAGCCCAAGATGCCTCTCCTGGTGAGGGATTGGTTGGGGGAGGAGAACCTGAGTCCAGATGGCAGGGCTCTGGCTGTCCCCTTTTATCCCCACCTTCTGGGTGTGCACAGTCCTTCTGCACAAACCCCAGCCACCCAAGGCGGACAGCCAGAGCTCTTCCAAAACAAAGCACACAGCTCACACCTCCCTTGACACATTCCTGTGCCTCCTTTGAGAGCCCACCACATAGTCTGAGAACCACTGTGTTAGATTATAAGGCCAGAGGGGAACACTGATCAGCTCAGACATTCTGTATATACACAGGCCATAGAAGTCCATCAAGACTAAGGGCAGGAATATTCTAAGTAATTAGCAGCCCCAGGTAGAGCTGGAAGGGAACTGATTTATAACTGGACTGAAAAGGGTACATGGTCAAGAAAAATACAAGTGGTAGAACCATTTCCTCATTCAGGTAGTGGTTGAAAAGCTCCTTGAGAAGCTTCAAAGTATGCAGTCAATTTATCTTTAATACAATTCTGTTGGTAACCTTATTGGTGGAGGTCACACCTCCATAGATTGTCAATTTATTGCAACATATTTGATGGGGTTTCTGGATTTCAGATGTCATGAAATGTGACTAGTTCAAAGCTTTAAAACAAGATGGACTTACAACTTTCCCAGAAAGATACCATTTGAACTAAGTTTCATGTTTGATATTACTTCGGGAGAGTTGTTTCAGAAACTCATTCTCCCAACCATTTCAGAAAAACAGGTGAAAAATTCATATTTCCTAGCCACATATTTAAGACATTTCGATTTACTCAATCTGCAAACTTTCTATATGTAGTGAATGAGTACTACAAGTAGTACAAGTTTCACATTACACGAAGTGATTAAAGTTTTTGTTTTGTAATCAATTTTAGTTTGCTATCTCATCCAACGGCAAGCACCTCCAGCAGTAAAGTGGCTGTTAACCTTAGGGGCATTGGTTCAGTATAGATGTTATGTCCACTAGCACTAAAGTGTTCCTTGGAGGTCACAGAGGAGGAGCATGGCCAGACCAGTTTCTCTTGGAGACACAGAATCAGTATCTGTTGTTGGCTGCAAGTACAGCAGACCCTTGCTAGAATGCGCATCTTTATAGTGCAAATTCAGTTATAATGCAGGACTGCGCATGGATCCAAAACTCCGCGTTCTAGCGTGGGTCTGGTGTATTGCAATATACATAAGGGGCTGAATTTGTTTTGTGGTTGAAGATATACACAATGAATCTGAGGTGTTTTTGAAGTCTCAGACTTAGTGTTGCATTAATGCATTTTTTACTCACTAATGTTTGTCATGTACTATACTAATTTCAGCTGCAGCAGATATTTCTCATGGTAAGTCCTATGACTGAGGTACTGTAGAAGTTTAACAAGCAGCACTTCACAGTATCCTTTAGCTAACTCAGGAAGATATAAGAAAACACTTGAAAATTCTGCATCCTAATCTGCTGTAATAAAAGGAGAGTTCTGACGGCAAGGAAGCACTGTAGTTTGAACTGTTGCCTGCAATAGGGGTGCTGGGTGTGAAGGTAGCATATGTAGCGAACATCTCAAATTCTTACCAGTGCGGAGAGTTTTGCAGTCTCCCCTTCTCTTGCTGCTCCTAAAAGCAGTTCTTCCAGTTTCCTTTCTTGTGTCCTTTCCACTGCTGCTTTCAAAGTGAAAATAGCTTTAGCAACCACAGTAGTATTCTCAGAGGAACACATGTAACATCAGCAAAGTGATATTTGTCTAATGAAGAATGTTCAAGCACTGTATACAGGGCCTACAGTTTCCCCAATACTTGTTAACTTGAGGGCTATGCCTACCAGACAGGGTGAATACACTTACAGCCATGTTCTTCAGAGTCAATTAAATACAGTGCACAAGTCTAAAAGGTGACAAATCACTGCAGAAAAATTCTGAAGTTACTCAAGTTTCACAGGTTTCAGGGTGGTAGCCGTGTTAGTCTGCATCAGCAAAACAAATGAAGAGTCCTTATGGCTCCTTAGAGACTAAAATTTATTTGGGCATAAGCTTTCATGGGCTAAAACCCACTTCATCAGATGCATGGAGTGGAAAATAGAGAGGGAGGTATAAATACACAGCATATGAAAAGATGGGAGTTGCCTTACCAAGTGCTAACGAGCCAATTCAATTAAAGTGGAAGTGGGCTATTCTCAACAATTGACAAGGGAGGGGAAAAAAAAAAAATCACTTTTGTAGTGCTAATGAGGCCAATGTAATCAAGGTGGCCCATTTCAAACAGTTGACAAGAAGGTGTGAGTATCAGCAGAGGGAAATTAGTTTTTGTAGTGACCCAGCCACTCCCAGTCTTTATTCAGGCCTAATTTGATGGCGTCCAGTTTGCAAACTAATTCCAGTTCTGCAGTTTCTCATTGGAGTCTGTTTTTGAAGTTTTGTTGAAGAATGGCCACTTTTAAGTCAGTTATTGAGTGTCCAGGCGAGACTGAAATGTTCTTCTACTGGTTTTTGAATGTTATAATTCATGTCTGATTTGTGTCCATTTATTCTTGTGTAGAGACTATCCAGTTTGGCCAATGTACATGGCAAGTATTCAAACATTTACCAAGTAGTAAAGGTTCAATAGTGCAAGAAGTATTTGTCCCAAGTTTTTTTCCAATGAATACCGGGGAAGTTCAATGGTAATATTTGACCAACACTATTTAACCAGCCCTACTTACATCTTGGATATTATACTTTCTTTCCCTTCCCATAAAAGATCTTCTCTCCCCTCTATTCCCCTTCTCTATCTTACCACTAACTTCTGCCCCACAAAAATCTCATCCTTCTCCAGTTTAACTGGTCAATCTCTCGCAGCCTTCTACAACAAACTACACCCAAATACAGCACTAAAAGATTTTAATCAGACACCCAATAACTAGCAACAAACTTACTAGGTACAGCATAAGACCGGGGGCCTACTCTATTAAAACAGCCTACTTAAGAAGCCAAAACTCCGCCATAGCACTTATTGGGATTACTACTAAGGTGCTGACCCTTAACTCTGCTTGAGGGCTCCATCCATTAGCTAGAGTCAGATATGAAAAATAAGCTATTTGAAGCTTCCCACGACACCACCTACTCCCTCTGACCCCTACCATCAAAGGGCTTCTAAAAAAAAAAAAAAAGTGCACATTTTCTACTATGCCATCATAAAGTTCTGTGGCTGCATGGGGGATTCTGCTATTTCCCCCTCCTTTCTTCCTGGTGGTAGTGGTGAGGTGGGGAAGTCTTTGCTAGTTTACTCCTCTCGACTGCATTTCACATCCTGCTCTTTGACAAAAAGAGCTTCTCCCACATCAAGCAGTATCAACTGTGATCTGTTGTTGCAGGACTCTTGTATGCAGTGTGGTTGCAACCGTATCCTTTTCACAGCTACCCAGTGTTCTGAACAGTAATAGAGAAAACTAATACTGGCTTGTTTTCCTTCTGCTGGTGCTGGTCAATGCTATGAGCACCAGCACTGGAGCTGACTGCGGACTTGAGATGATGGCACAGCATTGGTTTATACTAGTCACATTTGGAAAGTTCTCTTCCCAACCACGAGGGCTAGAATTTTTCAAGCCCTGATGGGTTAGCGCAGGGGTCAGCAACGTTTGGCACGTGGCTCGCCAGGGTAAGCACCCTGGCGGGCCGGGCCAGTTTATTTACCTGCTGACGCAGCAGGTTTGGTCGATCGCGGCCCCCACTGGCTGCAGTTCGCCGTCCCGAGCCAGGGATGTGCTGGCTGTGGCTTTCCATTGCCCCCATTGGCCCGGGACCGCGAACCGTGGCCAGTGGGGGCCACGATCGGCCGAACCTGCCGCGTCAGCAGGTAAATAAACTGGCCTGGCCCGCCAGGGTGCTTACCCTGGTGAGCCGCGTGCCAAACGTTGCCGAACCCTGGGTTAGTGTCTAATAAGAGCTTATGCAAAAAAGTCTTGCTTTAAACACAATCCAGGCTACACAGAGTTCTCCTCTGGCCTGAAATATTCAAGCTTTGCACACAGATTTATTTTTAAGGCACGCTCCGAGAAGAATGGTTTGCTTATAAGGAGCAGTGAAAAGAGCGCTAGGTATTACTATTAAGGTGATTTATTTACATGCATATGAAGTCAAAAGAAATGTGACTGGCATAATCATTTGACAAATTAAAATGATGCTATTGTTTCAACTTCCTGTTATTCATAGATACCAAAACTGATTTATCTGAATAACAGAAGGAGGTAGACAAGCTTGTCCATGCTGTAGAGGACAAAGCTCAGGGATTCCTCAATTTACATATTGATATGTACTCCAGGGATTCGAAGTTATGGAGCCAGAGGTTTAGGCACATTTGTACCATTTGGACCTTTTTTCCAGAAATGCTGAGCAACTCACTGACTTCAGTTGGAGATGGGGTGCTTTGATCCTCTCAAAAAAAACTTCAGGCCCTTGGTGCATACATATGTAAGTGTTTCTACACTCTGTGTACAACTGAAGTTTTTGCCACCACATAGATGCATCTTGTTGCCTAATAAATGTGTCATGGTAAATTCCACTGTTAAATTTGTTTTCATTTACTGAGGACAGCAAAATTGGAACAAGTGTTTTAAGAAGTTTAACTGGATTTAAGGGAAAAAGTAAATCCCCCCTGCAGGTTAATCAGACTTTTAGGAAGTCTTGATTTTCAGACACGTGCAGTCAGATTGCAACCATAGCAACAACTGTGAAACTGACATTGTTAGCCAGATTAATAAGGGCTTTAATAAATGCTTCACCCTGACGAGAATTAACAAGTGCACTCATTTTAAGAATTTATCTTTAGTGCATCTGTTTATGATAATTGCCCATAATCTCGTGTATGATTAAGGAATAGCACGTTTTCTGGAAAAGTACTGCTTGGAATGACTTCATTTGGAAATTTTTAGTTTTCCAGTCCTTACTTCTGAATGTAAGAGCCACATGTACCAATCTGTTCAGACAAAAGAATTACATTTGAATTAAGATTGATTATTCATAAAGTCTATTCAGGGTTATGTTGTCAAGAACCCGCATCTAAAAAAGTATTCCTGGTGGCACTACTGGGGCTAAGTGATAGTTACTTTCTTACCCTTTGTTTGCAGATAGCATAAGTAGTGAATCAATACATAAAACATACTTGCTTTTTGAAAGTAGTATTGGTCAAGACTCTAAAAAGTAAATCAATTTTGGGTATTCAGCTTTGGACACCTTTAAGGAGGTCAGACTTTCAAAAAAATCTGAAGCACCTACTCTCTGGAAGTCACACCTTTGCTTCACCTCAGGCTGGAGACCCAAAATCACTTGGACAGGGTCTCCATTTTCAGAGCTGAAACAGTCTGGAGCAAGACCTGGTAAGTTTGTGAATGATTCAGTGAGTCTTCTCCCATTGACCATTTTGTACTCAAAGTTAAATTGGGCAGATTTCCTTTTTCTATTCTCCTGCAAAGATGCCCCTACAACCTACTTGGCCTCTTTGTATGTTAGAATTTGAGAGTGGAGAGATTTTATTATTCTCTAAGCATTATCTAGTGGTTAGAGAAGGGGAGTTGCAGGAAAGATCCTCAGCTCGGTTTCCAATTCCTGTGACACCAATTCCTGGTACAGTCACTGATGTCTGAGCAAGTTTGCCCACCATCTTTGCAAAATGCTAGAAATTACAGTTTGCATCCAAGTGAAGGTTTATATCCCAGCTTGTTACACACAAAGCAGCTTTTGTTATCAGCATGTGCTTGGATTACTTCCCCTGTGTAGCACTCAAAGCCCTAGCTTGCTGCATAAAGTCCACATCATTAAAGGGCTTAGAGAAAAAACCTGTGTTGCCTTTAAGGCCCTAACTTCGATCAGAAACAGCATTTACAAACAGGTTAAGGCTTCTTTCAAAGGCACTAACAAACAGCCCTGTTGTACTGACTGGTCAGTGTTCTTTTACAATAGAAGTGACTGAACATTAGTTTTTAACCAGAAGCTATTTTGAAATCAAGTGAACTTGTAGGTGAAGCAGCTCTTCAGAGCTACAAATGCTTATGAAAGGCAGTGAAGACACAGGAAGTTACCTTCCAACATATTTTTGATCTCTTTATCTTGTGTAACGTCTCTTGCCGTCTGTCCACCCCCATTAACAATAGAAGTATCAGCATCATACTGTAAGAGCAGCATCACCACCTCCTGGAAGACAAGTTCAAAGTTATGATGTTTTATCACAATGGCACTTTCCTAGAATTGGGTTGGTCCACTGTTCTGCAACCCTCCCTTTTGAACCTAGCAGCGTGTAACGGTTCACTGCCACAATGAATTCTTAAAACATGGCAAGGCAAGAGATAGTCCGAATATTACAACAGGACTCTGACTAAGGGGCCTACAGATACTGGACTGCACTTGAAGATACACAGCAGTAAAGTCAGGCATAAAGACATCTTACTAAAGAGTGGGACAATGAACACTTGTAGTAAGGAATCTTGTACTGGAGAACTTTAAGTATCACTTAAATCTGAGCAGAGACAACATTCTGCCGTGTAACCATATGGTCATAGAATCAGTTCTACATTTTACATGCTTATGCCTACACAGTATTAAGAGGCAAATTGCATCTGTTTGAAAGAACAAGTTGTTCACATTAATTAGCTACTGAATCGACTCATCTTCATTCTAGTATTCTATGTAGCAAGTGGATAGGAGACCAGTATTTACAATACTGTTTCTATGCTTATTGGATGTACAGCTTTGTATGAATGAGCACTTAACAAGTGATTTCAATCCCCTTTAGCTATGCATTAGTGTCCAACTAATCCAGACAAGTCAGCCTTAAAGTCTATAATTAGGCAAGCCAAAAAAAGAATTAAGACACAAACAGGAAAAAAAATGTTTAAATACATCAGAAGTAGGAAGCCTGCTAAACAATCAGTGGGGCCACTGGATGATCAAGGTGCTAAAGAAGCACTCAAGGAAAACAAGACCATTGCAGAAAAGCTAAATGAATTCTTTCATGGGCACCAGGTGAAACCCTGCTTTGGGGAGGCTAGCCCACCAGCCCCGCCCCTTCTGCCCCAGCCCCCCCTCCCCATAACAGAAGCCCTGAGAGGCCCCCCCGACCAGAGGAGCCTACACACACCCCCACACACCCCCCGCCCCGCACTGGGCCGAGCCGCGCCTTCCGCTCCCCCCAAGTGCTGGGCTGGCCTGCCAGCTGGAGCTAGGGTGACCAGACGTCCCGATAAAATAGGGACCGTCCCGATATTTAGGTGTTTGTCCCGCGTCCCGATCGATCTTCGGTCGGGACACTGCACTCCACTTTTTTTTTTTCCCCCTCCGCCGGCAGCACTTGGCTGTTCTCAGCTTTTTCCCCCCCCTCCTCTGACTGCCGGCAGCACTCAGCTGCTCTAGGTTGTTTCCCCCCCCCACCCCCGAAAACCAGAGGCTCCCCCACTGTAAACTGATCCACACATTGCTACCAGTCTGGACCCAGATAGACTTGCATGTCAGAATGCAGAGTGAAAGGAAAAGTTAAAGCGGTTGTTACTTCTCTGCTTAGTCATTATGGTGATGAGCATGGTGTAAATACCTATACGCTGAAGGTATGCATAGCTAAGGGAGGGTGCATAATCTCCTCTGACTGCCCGCAGCACTCGGCTGTTCTCTGCTTCCCCTCACCCCACCCCGACTGCCAGCAGCACTGGGCCACAGTAGGGAATTGGGAGAGGGGGCTGTTTGTGTCATTACACCGGCAGCACTCGGTTTTTGGGTTTTTTTGCTCTGCCAGTGACCTCCCCCCCTTGTGTCCAGATATTTTCTTCCTGTCATCTGGTCACCCTAGCTGGAGCCTCCTCACTCCCCCACCCACTGCTGGCTCTCTGTGTCACTCCTCACTCCCCTGTCCCCCCCAAGGAGACATGGCGGCGGCAGCAGCAGCAGGCGGTGGGGACCTCAGGGAAGGGGCAGGGCCACCGCAGCCCAGGTGTCTGGCGGTGGGTCAGCAGCAGCACGAGACACACCCAAGCCTTCCCTGGGCTATTATACCCGCCACCCATGAATTCTTTGCATCTGTCTTCATTGCAGAGGATGTTGCAGGGAGATTCCCACACCTGAGCCTCTTTTTAAAAGTGACTTTTCTGAGGAATTATCCCAGATTGAGGCCTCAATAGAGGAAATTTGGAACAAACTGACAAGTTAAACAGTAATAGGTAGTGCCCTGACAAATGCACAGCCATGAAAAAAAATGTGTCATGGAGCATGAAATCTGATCTCCCCCCAGGAAATCTGGTCTTTTGTGTGCTTTTCCCCCTATACTGTATAGATTTCACAGGGGAGGGGGAGAGGACCAGAATTTCTCAAATTGGGGGTCCTGACCCAAAAGGAAGTTGCAGCAGGGTCACAAGGTTATTTTAGAGGGGTCACAGTATTGACACCCTTACGTCTGCGCTGCCTTCAGAGCTGGGCGGCCAGAGAGGTGGCTGCTTACTGAGGGCCCAGCCCTGCAGGCAGCAGTGCAGAAGTAAGGGTGGCAATACCATACCATGCCATCCTTACCTCTGCGCTGCTGCTGGCAGCCACTCTGCCTTCAGAGCTTGGCTCCCGGTCAGCAGCTGCTGCTCTCCAGCTGCCCAGCTCTAAAGGCAGTGCTGCAAAAGTAAGGGTAGCAGTACCAAAACACCCCCTACAATAACCTTGTGACACACAACCCAACTTCTTTTTGGATCAGGACCCCTACAATTACACCACCATAAAATTTCAGATTTAAATAGCTGAAATAATGAAATCTGGGATTTTTAAATTCCTATGACCATGAATTTGGTAGGGCCCTAGTAACATGTCACTAAGAGCAGATGGTATTCACCCAAGAGTTCGGAAGGAACTCAGATATGAAGTTGCAGAACTACCAATTGTGAACCTATCACTTAAATCAGCCTCTGTACCACATGACTGAAGGATTGCGAACACCGATTTTTAAAAAGGTTCCAGAAGCAATCCTGGCAATTATAGGCTGGTAAGCCTAACTCCAGTATCCAGCAAATTTGTTGAACCTACAGTATAGAACACAATTATCAGACACATGGATGAACACGATGTTGGGGAAGAGTCACAGCTTTTGTAAAGGGAAGTCATGCCTCAATCTATTAGAATTCTTTGAGGGCGTCAACATACATGTGGACAAGGGTGATCCAGTTGACAGTGTACTGGGACTTTCAGAAAGTCTTTGACTAGGCTCTTAAGCAAAATAGCAATCATGGGATTAGAGAAGGTACTCTCATGGATCAGTAACTGGTTAAAAGATAGGAAACAAAGGGTAGGAATAAATGGTCAATTTTCACAACGAAGAGAGGTAAATAGCAGGGTCTCCCAGGGATCTGTACTGGGACCAGTGCTGTTCAACATATTCATCAATGATCTGGAAAAAGGGGTCAATAGTAAGGTGGCAAAATCTGCAGATGATACAAAAGTTACTCAAGACAGGCAAGTCCAAAACCGGTTGTGAAGAGTTACAAAGGAACCTCACAGAACTGGGTGACTGGGCAACAAAACAGCAGATTAATTTCAAGTTTGATATGTGCAAAGTAATGCACATTAGAAAAAATAATCCTGACTATACATACAAAATGGGGTCTAAATTAGCTGTTACCACTCTAGAAAGATCTTGGAGTCAAATAATTCTCTGAAAATATCTGCTCAATGTGTTAGCTTTTTTTGACTGCCACTACAATGTTAGGAACCATTAGAAAGGGATAGATGAGACAGAAAATATAATGCCACTGCATAAATGCATAGTACACCCGCATCTTGAATACTGCATGCAGTTCTGGTCATGCCATCTCAAAGAAGATACATTAGAATGGGAAAAAGTACAGAGAAAGGCAACGAAAGTCATTAAAGGTATGGAACAACTTTTATACAAGGAGAGATTAAAAAGACTAGGACTGTTCAGTTTAGAAAAGAGACTACTATGGGGGGATATGATAGAGGCTTGTAATATTATGAATGGTGTGGAGAACGTGAAGGGGGAAATATTCATTATTCACATAACACAAGAACCCAATGAAGTCAGAAGGCGGCAGGTTTAAAACAAAAAACAACAACAACAACAACAACAAAATAGACAACCTCCCCCGCACCCTCCCCCCAGAAAGGAAGTACTTCTTCATGCAGTGCACAGGCAACCTGTGGAACTTGTTGCCTGGGGATGTTGTGAAGGTTGAAAGTATAACTGGGTTCAAAAAGAGAATTAGATATGTTCCTGGAGGACAGGTCCATCGGTGGCTATTAGCCAAGATGGTCAGGATGCAATCCCGTGCTCTGGGTGTCCTTAAACCTCTGACTGCCAGATGCTGGATTAGATGACAGGAGAGAGATCACTCTATGGCTAGGTCTACACTACAGCGGGGGGGGTCGACCTAAGATACGCAACTTCAGCTACATGAATAGCGTAGCTGAAGTGGCATATTTTAGGTTGACTTACCTGGCTGTGAGGACGGCGGCAAGTCGACCGCTGCCGCGCCGCCATCGACTCCGCTACCGCCTCTTGCCGCGGTGGATTTCCGGAGTCGACGGTAGAGCCATCAGGGATCGATTTTATCGCGTCTTCACTAGACGCGGTAAGTCGATCCCCGATAGACCGATTGCTACCCGCCGGATCGGCGGGTAGTGAAGACGTAGCCTATAATTGACCTGTTCTGTTCATTCCCTCTGAAGCATCTGAACTGGCCACTGTTGGAGACGGGATACTGGGTTAGATGGACAAGTGGTTTGACTCAGTATGGCCGTTCTTATCTGAAGTCTAATTATTCTTTATGCCAATGATACTCAGACCGAGGGTCTCGAGCTGCTAGGGGCTCTTCAAATGCTTCTCCAGAGGCTCTTTGCAGCACATGATATTAAAATACTCATTTAATGATTAACCATTCAGGATGCTTTTACTAGGTTATTAACCAGTTGTAGTTGATAAAATAGTCATTTTGCTGTGAGAATATACATATATATATATATTATAGTCTATTTAAACAGTATGATGGGAAAGTATGGGGATGGGGGGAAGAGGGATAGCTCAGTGGTTTGAGCATTGGCCTGCTAAACCCAGGATTGTGAGCTCAATCCTTGAGGGGCCATTTAGGGATCTGGGGCAAAAATCTGTCAGGGGCAGTACTTGGTCCTGCTGTGAAGGCAGGGGACTGGACTCAGGGCCGGCTTTAGGCCGATTCCCCCGAATAAGACCCTACACCCTAAAGAGGAGCGCCTAACTTAGGCGCCTTTTTAATTTTTACTCACCCGGCGGCGGGTCTTCACTCGGCTCTGGGTTTTCGGCGGCGGGTCCTTCACTCGTTCTGGGTTTTCGGCAGCGGGTCCTTCAGTGCCGCGGAAGACCCGGAGCGAAGACCCGGAATGCCGCCAGGTGAGTCATCCCTGCCGGAGCCCCGTCGAAACTATTCGAATCGGGCCCCGCACTTCCTAAAGCCGGCCCTGACTAGACTCAATGACCTTTCAAGGTCCCTTCCAGTTCTATGAGATAGGTAAATATATACACAAGTAAACTAAATATTTTCCATCATACTGTTTAAATATGAATATATAGTACTATAGTAAGAGAAACAATGAATCCACACTACTGTGGCTCATTTGGGTGATGTTGATCACTAATTTGGCTTCTGAACCACTGAGGTCTGAGCATCACTGCTTTCTGCTATGGTTTGTGAGGGAAGTGATCTGTCAAGTTGTATGCAGAAACACCTACTTTTCCCATCCCTCCAAACTGGCTTCCATCTGACAACCAGCATTTACAGCTGAGAGGCTGATTAGTGCTATGCTCCCGCACTAAAGAGCTTTACCCCAGGCACATCGCAAGAGTGACGTAGGAAGTGATTACACAGACAGGCGTGCAGGTAAAGTGCTTCAACAGAGGAAAATGACTATGTTCCCCCTTTCCAGCTGCCAGCCACATCCTGGAGAACAAAAAAGGAAAGAGCAGCTATGGAGAAGGAAGACTGATATTTCCCCTACCCTCCCAGGTGGAAAAAAAACAGTTTTCTCTGCCAAAAAAGCCCAAACCAAATCTGAGGATTAGACAGTCTAGATTTTAGGCACATTAAAATTTGCTCTTTGGTAGCTTTCTGAAATGCACTGCTACAAGGATTTTTCCTACCTCAAGTGCTTTGGCTTCAATGTGTTACTATTTTAAAACCACTTAACATTTTTAGATGCCATTGACACCTTATAGCACCCTTTAGGGGACACAATCTTATGCTGGGGTTGCCTTATGCATCCTGTGAACCACACAGGGTGGAATACAAATAGTTAGAAAATAGTGTATTTTTACCTTGCGTCCAGTGAAGGCTGCACGATGCAGTGGAGTGTCCCCCATATCGTTTAACACGTTCACTTCTGCACCAGCCTGCCAAGACAGAGACGGTTAAGTAATGCTGGAAACACAGACAGGTCAATAGACTACCTCTACAAAAATATTCCTTCCAGAAAGAACTCAGTGTTACTGACACCTCTTTGTTTATAATCTATTTGTCAAGAATGAATTACATGAATTAGGAGGCTCTCTGTGTGTCCCAGTATAGTTGTAAAGCCTAATCAGTGATAACGTGTGAAGATTTAGAGGGGAGGAAATCTACAACAAGGAGCCCTTGTGAAAGGGAGCAAATTCAAATTGGGGCTATGTCTACACTTAAACAGCTACAGCAGCACTGTTCTACCGCTTCAGCATAGACACTGCTACTTCCCTGAGAGGGAGTAACTAGGTCAACAGAAGACTTTCTAGTGTAGACATAGCCTAGGTTGACTGAGTTTACAGTGACACCGCTGTATCAATGCAGCTGCACTGCTATAAGACCTCTAGTGGAGTCGCTCTATGGGAGAGAGCTCTCCCATCGACATAATTAAACCACCGCCAATGAGTAGCGGTAGCCATGTTGGCAGGAGAAGCTCTCCTGCCGACATAGCACTGTCCACACTGGCGCTTATGTCGGTGTAACTTATGTCGCTGGGGGTGGGGGAGTTTATTCACCCTCGAGCAATATAAGTCATATGACATAAGTGGTAGTGTAGACACAGCCCTAGAGCTGTCTATACCAGCAGTTAGGTTGGCTTAACCACTTTGCTCAGGGGTGTGAATTTTTCACACTCCTGAGTGACATAGCTGGGTCGACCTAACTTTTTAGGTTTAGACATGGCCTTTGTTTTGCTGTCACTCATCTCCACACACAAATTGCATACAACAGCCATTAAAGCTGTAATTTCACTCTAGTTGAAAGACTTCACACAGTAGTACTATATATACACTGTAGTGCAGTCTCCTCTTCAAGAGATTAAACGGGCCATGACTAGCAGGTTTCATGATCTCTTCACTGGCTCCCTGCCCCTTTCCACATCAAGTGGAAACTCTTCTGTACACCATAAAGGAATGTACCACTGTATTCCTGTCTGAATCTCAGCTCCATTTTCCCCCCATTCCTTTCCTGCACCTGAGATCCTTGCTCTCACTCTTCTTTCAAATCCCACTTCAAACACTGCTCCTGCTGAACCCTACTGTTAAAATGGTCAGAAAGATCAGGACAAGCTGCATATGCAACAGAATTAATGGGACTATGTGGTTTTACTATAGCTGGGAAACTGATCTGATTGAGCTCATGAGGACTAGAGTCAGGGGATTAGGTCTATTCCTGACTGCCACAGAGTACCCTAGGACAGGGGATCTCAACCTTTTCTTTCTGAGGCCCCTCCAACATGCTATAAAAAAACTCCATGGCCCACCTGTGCCACAACAACTGGTTTTCTGCATATAAAAGCCAGAGCCAGCATTAAGGGGCAGCAAGCAGGGCAATTGCCTGGGGCCCCATGACACAGGGACCCCCGCAAAGCTAAGTTTGGCTTCAGCCTCGGGTGGCGGGGCTTCATCTTTCTGCCCTGGGCCCCAGCGAGTTTAACACTGATCCTGCTTGGCAGCCCCCCTTGGATCCTGCTCATGGGACCCCCGCAGGAACCCTGGTTGAGAACCACTGCCCTAGGACAAGTCACAATCTATTTAACCTCCATTCATCACTCCATCTGTAAGAAGGTAGGGTTACCATCCGTCCGGGTTTCCCCGGACATGTCCGGCTTTTGGGTCTTTAAATAGCCGTCCGGGGGGAATTTGTAAAAAGCTAAAAATGTCCGGGATTTCCCCCCAGACGGCTATTTAAAGACCAAAAAGCGGCTGACAGGGCAGCCGCGCCGGATTGAGCCGCTCACTTGGGGCCGCTCCGGCAGCAAAAGCCCCTCCCCCGCTTCCCCTGCAGCTTCAGCACGCCGGTAGCAAAACGGGAGCAGGAGCTGTTTGTGCCGCTACAAGTCAGGGAACAGGCAGCGGTTGGATAGGCGTGGGAGTCCCGGGGATCTGGTGGGGGCAGGGGTGTGGATAGGAGTCAGAACAGTCAGGGGACAGGTAGGGTGGGGGGGTCTCAGGAGGGGGCAGTTGGGGACAAAGATAAGGGAGGCTTAGATAAGGGGTGGGGTCCCGGGGGGGTGATTAGGGGCAGGGGTCCCGGGAAGGGGCGATCAGGGGACAAGGAGCAGGGAGGGTTGGATGGGTTGGGGGTTCTGTGGGGGGCAGTTAGGGGGGCGGGAATTGGGAGGGAGTGGCTAGGGGGCGGGGCTACATTCCCCCCCCCTCCCCGGAGTGTCCTCTTTTTTGAAAGTTCAAATATGGTAACCCTAAAGAAGGGCACTAGCACTCACCCACTTTTGTAAAACACTAATCTATGGATGAAGAGCATTTGACAATATAAACATACTTTTGCTATCTCCCCCTTCCCACCCTGAAGGCTTGCCATTTGTTTATGCTATGTTGTAAGCAAAGTCTTTGGGTCAGGGACCGTATCATTTGTTGATACTAGCTTTCTTTGATGGAATCCTTGCAGAAAAATCTCAGTCTGTTTTCCAGACCAGAATCTCCTGATAATTAGTTTTTCCATGTTGAACCAGGTCCAAATTTACCTGGATTTATTCTTTTTATTTCCAACCAGTTTAAAAGAAGTCACCCCTCCCATTCACTGTGGCTTTCAGGAAAAAGCAAAAAAAGCCACATTTGTTTTTGGTGCATGTATCTGAATGCTGTAATTAGCTGTACTTTGCAGATAGTTGGTTAGCTTTTATGGAGCTCAATTGCCAACATTGGTTATGCCTAAGGCTGCGAGTCTGTCACAGAGGTCACACGGCCAGCAGCAGCAGTTTGCGTGTATGGGAGGTGGCTCAGGGCTAGGGGCAGGGGGTTGGGGAGTGTGGGGGGGCGCTGACCTCAGGATCCCACTGGCATGCCCCCCCTGAAGCTCCTAGGTGGGGGTCTCCGCACAGCCCGCTGCCTGCCCCCACAGGCCCCGCCCCTGCAGCTACCACTGACTGCAGTTCCTGGCCAATGGGAGTTGCGGCAGCCAGCGCTTGTGGCTAGAGCAATGGAGCCCCCACCCCAGCCCCTGCCTCCGCTGCCTAGGAGCTGCTGGGACAGAGCCGGGTAGGAAGCCCCTGCCAGCCCCAACCCCACCCCCATCCCCAGTATCAGCAGGGGTCCCAGGCCATGCACTGTGGCCTGGCCCTCCCCCTCCTGCAGTACTGGGGGGTCCCTTCCCCTCCCCTTCCGCCCCCCAAGCACCCACAGCCCCCCTGGACCACCAGCCCACCACAGCCCCCCGCCCAAGTTTTAGTCAGGCTGGGTATTTTTAGTAAGAGTCATGGACAGGTCATGGGCCCATGAATTTGTTTACAGCCCATGACCTGTCCATGACTTTTACTAAAAGTTCCATGACTAAAACGTAACCTTAGTTATGCCAGAAGCAGCCAAGTTAGCTTTAGGCTTTATCCACACCACGCAGCTTTTAGTGACATGACTGTGCCGCTGAGAGCTCTCCCGCCGACAAAAAACTTCCACCCACAACAAGCGGTGGTAGCTTTCTCAGCAGGAAAGCGCTCCTGCCAGCAAAGCACTGTTCACACCTGCCCTTTTCCTCGACAAAATTTGTGTCTTTCAGCGTGGGTTTTTCTTCTTCTTTTAACCCTTCTGAACAACAAAAGGTTTGTTGTTCACTTGCCAGCATAGACAAAGCTTTATTTTATGTTAGCATTAACAGATTAAAGAAAAAAGGAGGGTCTCCTCCATTAACCTGATGTTTCTAAGAAGTTTGAACAAAGACTCGTTTAAGCCTTATTACTTGTGCCTGAAGTAACAAACATACACTGATCCTTCTTTGAAAATTTATACACATGCTTACGTGCTTCCTCTGCTGACATAGTAGTATCATTGACTATTTTTTTATTTTATTAATGGCACACATGCCAGTCTCGACTATTTGGAATTTAAAATTAAGTGTTAAGGTAGCGCAGACTTTTGCATCCCATATGTCTGAAATATGGTGACAAATACTGCAGGTACTAAGTTTCTTGAAAAGACTCAAGGCCTAACTCACTGTATTACCTGAGTTTTATGCTGATGTAACTGAACTCAACAAGCTGGTGAATATAAAACTCCAGTTACTATACTTGATCAGAGCATCATTGTTTTGATCGGTCTACCTGAAGGCATATTTTGTTTCCTAATGCTTGAATTTAAAGTTGCATTAGTCTGTTAGCCAACATTTTAAAAGTGGTTTAGTGTAAACAAGTACATTATCCTAGGCTTTAGCTGAACCAGCTTGTTTACATTAGGCTTCAGAATGTCACACACCTGCCAATACCATCCTTCAACTACTTCAAGGTTTTGTCTAAACTAGACTTTAGATTTCTTGTGCCAAATTTTCAAGATTAGGTGTGTGCAAACATCTGGTGTCCATGAACAAGCCACACATTCAGAAGTATGTAGTTAGCTGCCTTCAAGTGCAATAGTACATAAGCACATAGAATCATAGAAGAGTAGGACTGGAATGGACCTTGACAGGTCATCTAGTCCAATCCCCTGCACTAAGGCAGGACTAAGTATTATCTAGACCAGTGGTTCTCAAACTTATTTGACCAGGTACCCCTTCTTTGTGTCTGCAGTAGTTTATGGCCCCCTCCCTCCACATACATACTGCCACCTGGCTCTGAAGGCAGAGTGGAGAGCAGTGGCTGCTGGCCGGGCACCCAGCTCTGAAGGCAGCGCCGCACCAGCAGCAGTGCGGAAGCAAGGGAGGCAATGTGAAAAGTGATACTGATGAATAGGAGACGTAAGGGTTGCAAGGGGCGCTAAGTGCAGAATGGGTTCAGGCTCTCCTCCCCTCCCCCCCCCCATCTCTCACCTGAAGGCAGCAGGGATCTGGCTGTCAGCCTCAGGGTGGCAGTAGCAGCGCAGAAGTAAGGGTTGCAAGGGGCGCTAAGTCTGCTGTGGAAAGTGAGAGATTGGGGGAAGGAGAGCCTGAACCCATGCTGCACTTCCCAGTGAGGGATTGAAGGAGGGGTGGCAAGGAGAGTCTGAGCCACCTCCCAGGGGGTGGGGATGAAGACCCAAGCCCAGGCTGTACCTGGGACTGAGAGCCAGAGCTCTTAAAAATAAGAGCGCACATCTCACACCTCCGGATACATTCCAGCGCCTCCCTTGGGAGGCCTGCCCCAGTTTGAGAACTGCTGGTCTAGACCAGCGGTTCTCAAACTGTGGGTCGGAACCCCAAAGTAGGTTGCAACCCCCTTTGAATGGGGTCACCAGGGCTGGCTTAGACTTGCTGGAGCTCGAGCCCCACTACCCAGGGCCGAAGCCAAAGGCCAAGGGCTTCAGCCCTGGGCGGCAGGACTCTGGTTGCAGGCCCCCTGCCTGAGGCTGGAGACCTTGAGCTTCAGCTTTGGCCCCACCGCCTGGACTGTTGGGGCTTGGGCTTTGGTCCTGCCATCCAGGGCAGTGGGGCTTGGGCGGGCTCAGGCTTCGGTCCCCGCTCCTGGGGTCATGAAGTAATTTTTGTTGTCAGAAGTGGGTCCCGGTGCAGTGAAGTTTGGGACTCCCTGATCTAGATCATCCCTGACAGACGTTGGTCTAACCTGTTCTGAAAAACCTCCAAATGATGGAGCTTCTTCAACCTCCCTAGGCAATTTATTCCAGTTAGGAAAAACTTCCTAATGTCTAACCTAAGTCTCTCTTGCTGCAATTTAAGCCCATTATTTCTTCTCCAGTCTTCAGCAGAGAAGGAGAATTTATTACCCTCTTTATATCAACCTCTCACGTATCTGAAGACTTGTCTCCTCTCAGTCTTCTCTTCTCCAGACTAAACAAACCCAATTTTTCCACAATGTTGTCTTGATCTTCAATAATTTGTTCTCTGAACTTTCTCCCATTTGTCCACATCTTTCCCAAAGTGTAGTATCCAGAACTGGACACAATACTCCAGTTGAGGCCTTATCGGTGTTGAGTGGAAGAATTATTTTTCGTGTCTTGCTTACAACACTCTTGCTAATACATCCAGAATGATGTGCGCTTTTTTGGCAACAGTATTATGTAATTGACTTATTTAGTTTGTGATCCACTATAAACCCCAGATCCAGTTTTTGCAGTACTCGTTCCTAGACAGTCATTTCCCATTTTGTATTTATGCAATTGATTATTCCTTCTTAAGCATAGTACTTTGCATTTGTCCTTATGGAATTCCATCCTATTTACTTCATACCATTTCTCCCATTTGATGATATCATTTTGGATTCTAATCCTGTCCTCCAAAGCAACTGCAACCCCTCCAGGTTTGCATCATCCACAAACTTCATAAGTGCACTCTATGCCATTATCAAAATTATTTATGAAGGTATTAAATAGAAATGGATCCAGGACAGACTCCTGAGTGACCCCACTTGATATGCCCTTCCAGCTCAATTGTGAACCATTTGATAACTAGTCTTAGAATGATTTTCCAACCAGTTGTGCACCCATCTTGCAGGAGGTTTGTTTAAGCTATATTTCTCTAGTTTATGAGAAAGTCATTGAGACAGAAGCAAAGCCTTACTAAAGTCAAGATATATCATCTCTACTGTCTCCCCTATTCCACCAAAGAAGGATATTAGGTTGCTTTGACATGATTTGCTCTTGACAAATCCATGCTGACTATTACTTATCACCTTACTTTCTTCTAGGTACTTACAAATCAATCAATTTGTATCATTATCTTTCCAGGTACTGAAGTTAAGCTGACAAGTCTATAATTCCCTGGGTTGTCTATATTTGCTTTTTATAAACAGGTGCTACTGTATATTTGCCTTTTTCAGTCCTCTCCAGCAACTTCCATGAGTTCTCAAAGATAATTGCTAAGGCTGCATGTCTGTCATGGAGGTCATGGATTCCGTGACTTTCCACGACAGCCGTGAGTTCTGCAGCAGCCAGTGCAGCTGCTCGGATAGCCCCTGGGCCAGCTGCTGCTGGGGCAGTCTTGGGCCACTGTGCCCTTTCCCCCCAGTAGCAGCAGCTTGGGTATGGGAGGGGGCTCAGGGATGGGGTTGGAGCAGCGCTTACCTCAGGGGACTCCCTGGAAGCAGCCGGCATGTCCCTGAAGCTCCTAGGCAGAGGGGCCAGGGGGCTTTGTGTGCTGCCCCTGCCTCCAGGCACCGCCCCTGCAGTTCCTGGCCAACGGGAGCTGCGGAGCCGGCGCTCACGGCAGGGGCAGCACTCCCTCCCTCCCCTACCCTCCCTGGCCATTCCCCTCCCCCAGCACCCCCAGCTCAAGTTTTAGTTAGGAGTATATAGTGCAAGTCATGAACAGGTCATGGGCCATGAATTTTTGTTTATGACCCATGACCTGTCCGGACTTTTACTAAAAATACCCATGACTAAAATGTAGTCTTAATTGCTAATGGATCAGAGATCTCTTCAGCTAGTTCCTTAAATATTCTAGGAAGTATTTCATCCACCCCTGCAGACTTGAAGACACAACTTGTCTAAGTAATTCTTAAGTTGTTCTTTTCCTATTTGAGCCTCAGATCCTACCCCATTTACAGTGATGTTCACTGTGTTAGTTATCCAATCACAGCTAATTAACTTTCGGTGAAAGCAAACAAAAAACGCCATTTAACACTTCAGCCATTGATGCATTTTCTGTTATTGTCTTTCCCTCCACATTGAGTAATGTGCTACCTGGTCTTGGTCTTCCCCTTGCTTCTCATGGATTTGTAAAATGTTTGTTATCCTTTATGTCCCTAGCTAGTTTAATCTTGTTTTGTGCATTCGCCTTTCTAATTTTGTCCCTATATGCTTGTGGGTGTTTTTGTTTTTTTAATATTTGTCCTTTGTAATTTGATGTAGTTTCCACTTTTCGTATGACACTGAGTTTCAGGTCATTAAAGATGTCTTTTATACTTCTTATCTTTCCTACCACATTGCGATCTTTTGCTCTTGTGCCTTTAATAATGTTTCTTTAAAAAATTGCCAACTCTCCTGAACCTTTTTCTCCTTAGACTTGCTTCCTCCTATAGGATCTTTCCTACCAATTCTTGGAGTTTGCTAAAGTCTGCCTTCTTAAAGCCCATCGTCTTTATTCTGCTGTTTTCCCTCCTACCATTCATTAGAATCAAATTCTATTGCATTTCATGATCACTTTCACCCACTTCAGATTCTCAACTAGTTCCTCCGTTTGTCAGTATCAAAACCACAATAGCCTCTTCTCCTAGTTGCTTTCCGTACCCTCTGTAACAAAGAGTTGTCTCCCATGCATTCCAAGAATGTTAGATAATCTGTACCCTGCTATTTTCCCATGCAAATATGTACATGTGCAAGCATGTAATTAAATACAAGCATGCACACGACTAGTGGGAAGGATAGTTCATTGCCTTCACTTAGAATTGCATTGCTTCTCTTCAAGCAAACGGTTTGCACTTTAGTAGAAAAACCACTTTTCCTGTTTATTTTGAGGTTTCAGAAAAAGACAACTAGCTATTGGTCACCTGAACAACTTGTGGTATCATAAAAAAAATAGTATTAAAATAAGGTGGTATGAAAAACATTATGTAGGATCTTCAGACTCATTTAGAAATATAGACAACATTAAGTATACCTTCAGCAAATCCTTGACCACATTGCCATGTCCAAAATAGCATGCAAGGTGAAGAGGCGTCCAACCCAAATTAGATTTACTTCTGCCTAAAAATATGAAACAGAACATCAGGTAAACAAATGCTTTTGTAATACAAGACAGTAGGAACAGTTCAGTGTAAACTGTAACATCTTGCCAACTCTCACACAAACAACAGGCATAGTTAGTCTCTACAGTGAGAGCAGCCATTTATAGATTTCAGGCCAAAAAGGACTATGAATATCTAGTCAGACCTCCTGCAGGATAATAAAATAAAAGTTTCCACCCATTAATTACTGCACCAAGCCCGTAGCTTGTGGCAGAACTAGAGCAGCGTTTCTCAAACGCAGGCACTGTGGCCACCAGGGGTTTTTCCTGCGGCCACAACAGCCTCTTGTGCAGAGATGGAGGAGGGAGCAAAGCAGTGGCCCCTCCCTGCAGCACTCAGGGGCAGGCTCCAGCCTCCCACCACCCCCGGTTCAGCCAGAGGCTCCGGCGACAGGCTATAGTCCCCCCTCACCAAGCTGCAGCTGCAGGACTCTGGCAGTGGGCTTCAGCTGCAGGCCTCCTGAGGTGGGCTTCAGCATCTCTTCCCCTTCCCCCCCTGCCCCAACTTCAGGGCTTTGGTTTTCAGCCCCCTCGCAGTAGCAGGGCTCCGCCTGTGGGCCGGGGCTTCAGCCCACCCCCAACTCCAGCCCTGGGCTTCTGAAGGGCCAGCCTTACCAAGCACTGTGGTCCAGTGACAAGAAGTGGGGTGAGCTTGGGGTCCAAGGCCATGGAAGGGAGCCCAAAGCAATGGGGAGGAAGCAGTGGAGCCTGGGGAGGCAGTGGGGGCCAGGGGCACCAAAATGTAACTGTACATTATTTTTACTATTGAGTCTACAAAAAAAAAATTAAATGATTTGATCATGTAAATATGCATATTTGTTTTTCCTAAAATTGTCAGAGCGGCCACCAACCAGAGTTGGTGGCCGCACTCTGAGGCCGCCAAAAAAATTTGTCATGAGAAGCCCTGAACTAGAGCATCTCTAACAGGGCAACAACCTAGCATTACATTGCTGCTTCCATATTTCTTATCTCTTGTGCTTTGACACATGGATGAAAAGAGCATTCTAAGAACTAGATTTTTTTTTTTAAATCTGAGAGTCTAAAAAGCCAATTCCGGTTTAACTGGGTCCATTCCTCTTACACAACCCTTAGAGAGTCAGGGCTAACCCTTTCACTTAAGACCATAGGACACATGAGAAGCAAGTTGGTTTATAACCCGAATTATCTTTATGTTTAGGAATACTATGCACTGGCAACAGCCTTGTCATTGGCAAGGCTTTCCAGGTTAAGCAGTTTCCAACTGCGTTTGCAATCCACAAGGCTTGTATGTTCAGATCTCACTGGCAGGGTGGTGGAGCTAATAGAACAGTCAGCTGGAAAGACAGAGCAAAGCTCTTGGATAACCACCATTTATTCAGATTCAGAATAGTTTACCCAGAAGTGGTGACTAGCTGTATTAGACAGTCCCTGAAATTTCAGCTTTTGTTAAATAGCAGTGAATGTTGACTGGTAGATTTCTAGGTTAAAATTATGTACATTACAGTGAAATAAATTCCACTGAGCTGGTAACTGAGTTTAGTTTCTCTACTTGCTACATGTAGACAATAAGCAGAGCTGTTCTCACAAAAATTGTATATTAAAGATGCTTTTAAGTACCAGCCACAAAGCTTTTTACTTGTGGGGGTATTGAGAGGACACAGATTAGTGGTTTAATGCGTAAGTGGTAGTACCATCATCAAGTTCTCCTTCATCTCATGTATGCCTTACAAGTAGGCCTCTGCAGCCCATGCAAGTTTGCCAAAGAGAAGACAAACACTACCACAGAACCCTACACCTTTCTTAAAAAATGGGTGTTTAAGATAGGGCTCAAAGCATAAACTGAATTATCAGTTATTTTCCTGTAGTTACCCTATTAACAATTTTCAGCATAGATAAACACCATTAAGGGCCTTTTAACCATAAGGTGGTCTTAGTTTAATATAATAAGTTTTCACCCCTACCCAAATGTTCTCACTTTTAGAGCTTTGAAGATTGCTGACCCCCATCCCAGGCCCAGCTGCACCTTCATTTCAAGTGTCAAGATGAGCCGTCTTATTGTAGATATTGGCTTACTTTGTTACCTTGTCTTCTCCTTTCCATTTTTGTCCCCACCTCCAGTCTGTCTCATGGAACAGCTGCAGTTTGCTGTAGCCTCAACTGTAAGCTCCTTAAGAAAGGACTCTTTACTGCATGCCTGCAAAATGGCAGCTGAGCCTTGAATGTTATGCAGTATTACCTCGGCACAAATAAATGCCATGTGAACCACTATTTGGTAAGTACAAGAATAGCAAGTTATTGGCAGAAAGATTCAAAGCCACCTCATTGTGCATCCTCTAGTGGGATTATCAGTTGTTCAGAACTTCAGGATTCTAACGTTAGACTAGGCCATCCCAATTTTTTGTGTGACAACCTTAGTTTGTCCTTTTCACTTTTAAGTGTCCATGCAGTCATCACTGCTTCTCAGCTATCAACAGCTGCATTACATGGAGGCCTTCCTATTATTTATACATTTGCTTGTAAGACAGTGAAGCAAATGAGCTCCTTATGGTCCCTTCCAACAGTGGTAATCATACTGGCAGCCTTCTTGGTTAAGATAACAGCGTGTAGGATAACAGTCTAGGTATGCAGCATTTCAAGGTCTACAGTAAACCAGAGGTGCCAGTATGTTGCCTCCCCTCCTCCAAGACCCCCTCACATATACTTCGGGCCTTCTAACTTTACATCCCCATGCCTACATCTTTTAAAGATATTAGTAGCTGGAAAGACCTAACAGATGTTCTCTCGACTGCATGCAGAGAGCTTTGAAATAACCCTTGAGGAGATCAGGAAGTTCAGCACACAGTTTGGGCCACAACTAGACCAATTTTTGGTTTTGGTCTACTGTAATGGAATTGTTTCTTTGGGAGTCTCACCTTTATGTAAAGTTTCCAAACAAGAATATGACTAGAGTGTCAAACGCACTCAAGATCCTAGTTAGAAGTGGACAAACATTCAAATGAGAGGCCTAGTGATTGAAACGTATACCTGATTAAATTTAATATCTCTGCTAAACATTACTGCACATCAGTAAGTTACATTGAAAGTCTGAGTAACATGTTAAAAAAGCAAGTCGTTTCAGAAGAAAGTTTTGATGAGACTCCCATGTGGCCAGTTTTGCTTACAACTTTAGTTTCAGTTCAGATTTAGGCTAGTTAAAATTTGTTCATGTTTTCATACCAGACTGATGTGGCAGAAAGACATTTCCCTGCTTCATGCTTTAAAAAGAGGCAACATCCTCAGTCAAGGGTAGAATCAGACTGGTTAGTGACCAGCTATCCTCCACTAAAGTGACAGCCCAGCAGAAATAAGAGTTATATGTAACATTGGGGTCCCCAATATAAACCCACAAAAGCAAGCACAATTGTTAAGTCTGCCTTTTTATGTTCTGTTGGAACACAATGCTATATGTAAGCTTTAATAAGGCATGGTAACCATCTTGCGTTACTAGGACTTGTGCATTCTGCTGCACGTTTGCCTTTCTGCTTGTTCTCCCTTACTACTGATTTTTGTCAGTTACAATTTGACATTGTGCTTCTCTAAGGGAAAAGTATTTGTTCCTTTAGTACCAAGATATACTGGATTCCATGTTGAATGCCACCAGCAGGTTGTATATTAAATCTGGAGCAACAACCATCAGCCACAACAGGAGCCTACTGAATGGAAGTGCAAGGTCTGTAGGGTTTTATTTTTTTAATGTTCCATTTTCACTATCTAAAGCAGGATCATAATCATTGAGGAGGTAGGAAGAAGAAAAAGCATAAAGGTTGCCAGAAGTAGCATAGTAACAATGTCCTCTTCAGGCAGGACTTGTACTGTTTCCATCTAATCACTTGTTGGTATGTTCAGTGTAGAATGTAAGTAAATGGACCGCTACAACCTCTATTAAGACAGCATTAAACCTGTACCCAGCACCCTTTATTATAAACCCCAACACACAAAACATGACATCCATGTCACAGAATTGGAATGCCATGCATGAGAGAGCAGCCATTGCTAAGGCCCAAGGGCAGAATCTCAATTGAACTGCACATGTTGGTCAGCCTTTACCAGAGTTTAACACTCATCAAGAGTGATCCAGCATGATTTTTTTTTTTTAAAAAAAGGGTAGCAGCAAATTGTGCTGCAATAACTCAAATGCAGAAATATAGTTACAATGTATTGTTTTGAAAGGAGCATATTCTAAAGTCCCAGATGCCAATAGTATGAAGCCTTCATTTAAATTTAAAGCCTGGGAGAAAAACCCAAGACTTCACTGCCAGTCTGAGTAATACAAAACACACCCCAATCTCACTTACTTCTACAAGTCACCCAACAGTATTGTGTTAACCTGGAAAGTTTTTCTTCTCTGCACAAGAGAGTTTCAGGAGTTCAAGGGCAAGAAGCAGCTAGAGCAGGGGCCAGCAACCTTTCAGAAGTGGTGTGCCGAGTCTTCACTTATTCATCTTAACTTAAGGTTTTGCGTTAAATTTTAACGTTTTTTAGAAGGTCTCTCTATAGGTCTATATTATATAACTAAACTATTGTTTACTTTACATACAACAAGGTTTTCAAAATGTTTAAGAAGCTTAATTTAAAATTAAATTAAAATGCTGATCTTACGCCACCGGCCCACTCAGCCCGCTGCCGGCCTGGGGTTCCGTTCACCTAGTTCAGCAGCGGGCTGAGCAGGGCCGGCAGCCGGGACCCCAGAACAGGGGTGCAGGTGGGAATGTGGGGGGGGTGCAGGAGCTCCCATTTGGTGCTCAGGGTGGGGGGTGGGGATGTGGGAGGAAAGAGTAAGGGCATGGGGTGTGGGGGGGCTGGGTATGTGTGGGGGTGCAGGAGTCACAACAGGGGCTGGAGGTGTGAGGGGGTGCAGGGGTCAGGGCAGAGAGCTGGGGGGTGCGCAGGGGTCAAGGCAGAGGGCTGCTCAGCTTGTGAGGGTGCTCATGGCAGGGGGCTG